AGTGCATATAGATGAAAAAGACAAAGCAGATAGACTGGCGCGAGTTAATTTCTGTGGCTGGTGCAACTCGCTTAACTGGCTGTAAATACCGTTGTTGCTGTTTTTTGTTGCCATGACACCGTGAAATTCTAATATAGAACTTTGACATTAATTTTTTCGTCTATCAATAAACTTCTCAGAGAACACAAAGTGGGTCTAAATCAAGTGAGCATTTCACTTTAGTGTCTTTTTAAGAGTCCTAAAACAAAGCTTTTATTTATAATTTTATCTTAATGAAAATTTATATAGCTGCATCATTGGAGAGAAATTTCAAATTAGCAAACAGATGTCAGTTACCTTATCGAGAAAAAAGTTATGCCGAAATTCCACATTGTAATTTGGTAATTTCTTACGGGTCTTTATGGCAATTTATAACTTGAAAAGTTACATTTGAAGATTACGTAGCTCTTCCCAAAGGACCACACTGCAGGCTAAAGCTCATTAATATATGTTTTAATATCAGAAATAATTTCCAAATGTGAACTGTAAAAATTTCTTTTATAGTGATTGGCTTACTTATCTGATGCATAAAAATGCATCATGGTTATGAATAAAACAAAAGCTTTAGCCAGCAGTTGCTGAAAAGACTGATATCAAATTTGTCTACCATGTTTATGGAAACTTCCTCAAACTTGTGTAACCCAGAGGCACTGCACAAAAATAACAAAGCTGAGAAAATCGTGTGCAAAGTTCCGGGAAAATCTTTAAATTCATCTATTGAGACTATAAGTAAGACAAAGAGCGCGGTGCTGCTATTCCTGCCTGAGTAAAATCAAATCAGATTATTAAGATTGGTTCAGGCAAACATGGCCAAAACATGCGTATTGCAAAGGCTCGCAGCAGGAAAAACGAGAAAAGTAAGTAATTTCACAACATTCCTGAGCAGTAGTCCTGGCTTGCATTGAGCTTGTGTTTCCACTCTTTGTGTGACCTTGTCAGCCTTGTAAGGCCTCCTCCTATCTTTCTCAAGGCTCCTTCGGATGGGGCAGCTCCCAGGGTTGTAGCCAAGCTGCTCTGCAATGCCTTTGCTGGTTCTTACCATTGCCTGATTGAAGCACGACGCTGCTTTGTAACAGCCCTTTCCATAGCGAGCAGAGAATCGTGTGTTTTTCGAACTTTGGCTCCGAATAACAGAGCACTCAATGGCATTTTCAGTCAGCCCATCGGTACAACGATGTTAGAGGGCACAGTCCTCGCAAATGCCGGCTCCAGAGCAATGTGAACAGAAGCTGGCAGTGGATTCATGCGGAGCTTTTGGTTGCTAGCCAATGCACAGTTATGAGAGCCTTCTGGGCAGTGATTGTAGTCATGTGCAAGGGAATGGCTTTTACTGCATAAATGGTATGTGTTGCTTCTCGGAGCGTATTCGTAATAAGTGCCTATCTTCTTGACCCCCCTCAAGAGATTTCCGTTGTGCCTTGTTCTCCTGGAAGGTGCGAAGAGCTCTTGTGGACGTGGTTGGGGGAGTCTTTTTTTCACTACCAATGTGTCCATAGATACTTTCTTCTGTCAGTGCATAGAATGTGCGGCTGTCACTGTCTGGCAGGATAGTCGTGTAGCACAGCCCGTTGTTTTTAAGAGAGCGCCTGAACAGAGTCAAGACTGCCTGAACCTCCATTCATCTGGCATTGCAGTCTATATTTTGAGGCACTTTTGTTTGGCTGCCCAGTCACCATAGCCGTTATCACTAGAGTCAGGTGCTCCCTGGCAGTCACGGCAGTACGTGGACAGCACTACATGGTCTAGGACTTGGCCGGTTTAATAATGCACCCGACAGCATTGTTGGACTTATGTCCACGAGTCTTCCTGGTGCCATCAAAAATCACACCGACATACCCAACTGGGCTGAGGATGTTTCTGGCCTTCTAACTTGCCTTTTCTATGGCTGTAACTGCTGCTTGGCAGGCATCCACCATGGTGTCCCCTGAAACTTTTGTGGTGAAGGCCACGCCTCAAGGATGTTTAACTTCCACGATGTCACCGAAACATCCCTCAACAAAGATTTCACGCTCTTTGCACGTTCTTCTCCTTCTTCACATGCCTCATTTGTGCAAAACACCGTGTCCACGCGCGAGCTTGGCCCGGACATGTTGTTATCCATACGCTTGGGCTTGCTCCAGCTGATTCAAGCTTGCCATCACACTTAAGTCGACGCTGTTGCACATGGTTCAGCTGGACAAACTACAGGAGAACCAGTCAACGGCGTTGCAGAAGTTGGCACATTTTTCGACACGATGCACTTGTTCCAAGCACGTCTCTTTTGAAAGCTAGCATGTCTTGCGTGCTAGCTCTCAAAAGGGCACTGCGCGCCATCAAAACACGTGAAACAAAACAAATTCTTCAACTCAGCTTGAGTGACCACAGGAATTGACTCGTGGCAGTGACGAAAAGCTTGGTAAAACGAAAGGAAGTGCACGTCTATGATGGCGGAACAAGCAATTGCAGACGCCGCAAACCACGAGGCTTCCGCGCGCTTAGGAGGCCGAGAAAGACAAAGTTTTCTATAGATACACTAGAGAAAACTGTGGCGCTAGTGTCTATGGGAGCTGCAACACATAGCGCTTCAGCGAGCATGGTAATTATGGGTAGTACATGCACAGATTTGCCTAATCTTCAGCTCCATGTGTATTTGTGTGGCTTGTGATTGCTTCTTTACAAAACAAAAATCGAAAAATGTTCAGCAGTTGCACTTTACTACCTTCACTTTTTAGGCTTACCATTTCAAGTCTGGTCAGAAAGTTCAAAACGCTTTGTTCTTTCCTTCAAGACATAATCGAAACACCGCCATAAACGAAGCCACAAGTGGGATTCGCCGCTCACAAGTATGAAGACTAGGTGAATCTGATCAATTCCCATGGTCGCTGTACGATGGCAGCACCAGAGTCCCCTCAAGTTAATTTGGAGAAACTCTATGGAGAAAGGAAGCACACGTCCTGGCCAATGACGGGCGCCTTCTCAGCGCACACGTGTCAGCATGGTGGTCACGTGCGTGTCCTACCCAATCAGCGTCCTTTTCGGGACTTCTGGAAAGGCGCCGATTGCTGCGCTTCTGCAAGGCATAGGTGGGCTTGAAGTGTGCCAAATTCAAACACTGGGAAGCAGCTTTTTAACTAGACCAAAATGGGGCCGATTGGTTGTTGTCGCACGCAACTACAGCGCCTCGAAGTCAGGCCAAATTTCCATATTCGGGCAATGATTTCTGTCTCTCTGCGCTTCTAAATGATTGTTTTTGAGTACTTCTTCGCATAATTCAGCAGTAATATTTTGCCAGAGTATACTTCTTACTATAAAGGCTTCGAAATGATCATTTTCGAAAATTGATGTCTTTTCCGATTCTTCGCTATATTAAGATTCGTAACCCCTTTTTAACACTTTTGTGACAACAAGAAATTTGGCCGTTCTTGGGTAGTCCAGAAAACCTTATTTTTTAATGGCACCCAATGTTACTGATGTTAATGCCGATTGCCGCGCTTCTGCAAGGCATAGGTGAGCTTGAAGTGCACCAAATTCAAACGGTGGGAAGCAGCTTTTTAACAAGACTAAAATCCTTAATTTTTAATGGCACCCAATGTTACTGATGTTAACGTTTATGGTGTCAAATTGTGCAGCTAGGAGTTATCTTTCAAACACGGTCAGTTTGAAACCACAAATTTATTAACAATAGTACGAGAAAAATCGTCAAATGAAAAACGTAAACATGACAAAGATATTTTATAGAACCATCAACACTGCTCTGAAAATGCTAAGCATAAAAAGAAATGGAAAAGTACATTTTAAGCGCAAGGAGCACACACAATTATCTTGTAAATATAAGCGATGTAAATGCAATATTTTTTGTGTACATAAGTTAACGTTACACGTAATGTTTCATGCCACCGTGCAAAGCAGTTCGTGATACCGCAAAACACAGGTTTGCCACGCATGTTTCACAGAAAACACTTGCTTTCTGTTCAACTTTTTTTGTTTATAGCATAATTTACTATTCCTGATTTTTTTTTTTCTTTGCTGGTGCCTTGAGTCCTGAGGAGTGTTTCGTGTAGGAGCATCAAGACAGACTTTGGGACCTCCAAGTACCGTCTTTCTCGCTGTACTCCTGCTTTTGAAAAATATGCATTCAGGCATTTATTTGTGCTTTTGCATAGCTTTCCAATAACTTAAACAGTAAAAAACAAAAAGTTGAGAGCACTCATGAATCACCGCGCAGCGCTACGTAATGCGGCTCCAAGGTTCACTCCCGGCTGCCTCCGCGCACGAAACTGCACTCCCTGCGCTGCTGCCAGCAAGTAGTCCCGCCCAAAGATAGGGGACGCCCTGCAGATAAGAGCGCTAACCTTCAGAACACATCGGGTCAACTTACATTGACGTGTGCCAGCAATAATGCGGCTCGAGCACAAAGCTAAGCTCACCGGTTGGCGACCGCTGATGTTCCGGGGCGGTTTGACGAACTCTCGTCATCCGCGCTGAAATCAAAAGTGTTGATGTCGTCTTCCGAGCCAGTGTTGTTGTCATCATTTGAATATTCCAGCCCAGATGCACAAGGATCCCCCGAAGTTCGCCGTTTTCGTGAAGCGGTCATAGGCGACGTCGACACCATGATTAAAACTTTTCATGCTCACTCGCGCACATGAAAAGGCGCTTTAAAATCACCACACAATCAAAAAAGAGAAACACAAAATCGAAATTGATAAAATACTTTTTTTAAGCGTTAGATAGTGCAAGGGGTACAAAAGCAATCGAAACAGGGCAAATATACAAGTTTTACACATCGAAAACTTACTATCAATGGGGATAGGCACGATCACGAAAGTGTTAAGCAGTGCAAAAAGTGCAGGCCCGACTAGAGCTCTTTCAGGGCCCACCTTGAAACCTACTTTACCCAGGTTTGGTCTAGGTTTTCGGGTATGCCCGAGCTGTGCAGTGTATGTCTTGCCTATTGACCTGTAATTTCCTCTTTACTGCAGCAGGATGATCTGGACTTCTGGCTTTCACCTTCCGAGGGTCAAGACAGGCCGGCAGCAGGTGGTGATCTTGCCATGGATTCAGTGCTGCAGACTGATATGAACGGGGCAGCACCGGTACCAAAGAGTGAGGTGGGCATTTGACCAGCACTGTGTTTGCTCATAGTGGAAGAAATTGCAGCTTGTTGTAAGAGACATACACCAGGGAGCAGTTCTTGTCCCTTACATGAAGAGATTCACCTATTTCTATGTGCTCCCACTGGTGTCTCGTATAACCATTTGTCTCTTGCATCAGTGTCTCTGATACAGGGGTTCAACTGAATGCACAGGATGATAAAGGCAACACTGCAAAGTTCAAAACACAGAAAACCTGGAAAACACAAGCGAAGTGTCTCTGTTTTGTTTCAAACTTTGCAGCACTGCCTTTACCATCCTGTGTGTTCTAGCTAGTCCCTACACAAGCCCCCGCAGGGAAGTCTGTGCAAGCAGGCGTTTGGTGTGTAGCAGCACCACCGACCCGAGCTAACGGGCGGGGGGGTTTCGACTCCTTCCCACGCCTAGCTGTGCGTAGCTGAGCGGTGTTCAGGAAAAAGAGGATCCTGGGGGTTGAGCTGACGCTGTTTGATTTGACCTTCAAGGCCCCCCAGCAGAGGCAACACACCCCTTTGGCCTTGGCTTCACACAGATGTACACCCCTGAGCTGACCCATGGGAAATCGGTCGCCTTTTCCTATCCACCCTCTCCTACCTTTTTCTTTCCTAGCTGTCCTGTCTTATAATCCTTTCAGTTGCTTCCCAGTTTTCGTAGGCGGCCCGGGTTAACCTTGTGTTCTATATCCAGCCTTGGATATATTATGCCGGGTTATAGCAGCTATGTACAGTCGAGCCCGCTTATAATGAACCTGAGCATGACGCGGCATTCGTTTGCTGTATCTCCAAGTGCGTAGTAAATGAAACACAGCTTTTAAAAAAAAAGTTGCAAATGAAAACACTTTTTTTGCCCCAAAAAGTTCGTGATGCATGTGTTTCGAAGAGCAGAAGCGATAAGAGCGGTCTTGACGCCCTTATCCTTTAAAACGGCAAGGTGCTCGTTCACCGTGGCAGGCATGCTGAGCCGAGCGCGAAGTGAGCGAGAACAAGTCCTAAACACGAAACGAATTGCAAATTATCAGAGTCAGTGGGGTAGCGTACGTGTGTGCACTAGACGCAGACTATCGGATACAGTCGGTGGCTGACGATGTTGGCAAATGGTCTGGTCACTCCAGGCCGGCGGCGCCAACAACAGTACCAGCGATCAAAAACAGTGTAGATGGCCGACCGGTCTTCGAAAGATCGGTGGCAGTGTGAAAACACGGGCCTCGTCTGGCGATGCGGGGTGCTCAGAGTAGGGGGACAAAGGACGGAGGGGTGCATAACAAAAAACAGTCTGGGCATATAGAAAGGAAACAGCTTTCCTTCCTCCATGGGTTGTGGAGAGCGGCAACTAGAGCGTTGCGGAGGCAGGGTTGGCATTTAACAACAAGAATGTATGGGCACCTCGCCGATGCCTGATTGGTGGTCGAAATCAGTTTCCCGGGAAGTCGGCAGACCGCTGACTTCGTTCGTTGTAACCAATCAGCAGCGCTCGGTCTGTTCGTTGTAAGTGCGATTTTGTGCCATTGAACCAATGTATATTTTCATGGTCACGTGAATATTGTTCGTTTTACGCGAAAGTTTGTTTGAAGTGGGGCCATTATATGTGGGCTCGACTGTACGGCTGGTGCTTACATGTGTTACCCAAGCATTGTAGTGTCCCCTTGGTGCGCTCGACAGTGGGTGGCTACCACAGCTGCTGAATCATAAAAGATTTCATGGGTACTCCCTTCCCTCCACTTTCTGATACCTCTCTCAAAAGAGTGCGCACCGAAGTGACATCAAGCTTTTTCGCATTGTACAAAGACAATTTTCCCCGGTATCATGTAATCCACAGTGAGCAAACCAACAAGTCATCGAGAGGTGTCTCACGTTTCCTTGTTGCCAAATGCCTCCAAGAAAAACTAGGACCAGGATATAAGATCAGTAAAATTCCAAGCGGAGATTTTCTTCTTGAGATCTTTTGTAAGTCCCAACATGAGAAACTTGTCAGCCGTGAAAAATTCGGAGATATCTTCATAACTGTGACGGCACACAAATCAATAAATACTGTTTGTGGTGTAGTGACAGACAATGACCTGATTGGACTGACTGAGGCAGAATTATTGGACAAATGGAAAGAGCAAAATGTGATTGATGTTAAGAGAATAAAGATATGCAGGGATAACAAAAAAATACCAACCAAGCACCTTATTCTTAAATTCGACTCTAGCAGGCTCCCAGAACATATTGAAACAGGGTATATGAAAGTTCGTGTCAGAGCGTACATACTTAATCCCAGTAGATGTTTCCGGTGCCAGAGGTATGGCCACGGGTTTTTGAGTTGCCGAGGATGGCCAACGTAGGCAAAATGCGGTGAGCATGAACACTCCTCTGATGGCTGTAACAACTCACCCCACTGTGCGAATTGCGATGGTGAACAACCTTCTTACTCCCGATCGTGCATGGAAAAACGAACAAGACATTATAACTTTCAAATTCAAAGAAAATGTATCATTCAAGGAAGCACGAAAGCGGTTCTTAATAGTACAGCACACTACATATGCCGATGTGACTCGGAAAGGGGCAGTGTCACAACGGCCAGTGGCTTACGCTCAGACCTCGCCCAGGGATACAGCGCCTAGACCCCCCCCCCAGATGAATGCAGCACCTGCCCTCAACTAAAAACCAACAGCCTAGCGGCTTGGTGGCCTCCATGGCCTCTTGTTGAGAGTCGAGGCTGAAGCAATAGTCTGCGCACACTGTGCGCTCATCTGTCGTCTCCAGCGAGGCGATGGATACATCACCAGTCACCTCGACACTGGTGTTGTCGGAAGAGGGGCACCGCTCCCTTGAGTGTGCTGCTAGAAACAAGCAATGTATAACAGCTCCTCCAAAAGAGGGTCTGTCATGAAACAAATCCTGATATACAGAGTACTTTTGCCTTCTAGGTACTAATGGCTGCAGAGATCCTGCAGTGGAATGTTGAGGCCTTTTGCATAACCTAGATGATGTGCGAGAACTAATTAGCACCTTTAGTCATAAAGTATTCTGTATAAAGGAAACACATCTACAGCCAAAAAACACAAGATTTTTAAATCAATATGTCATTTTTTGTAAGGAGCGTACCGACCACCTTATCTTGTCAGGTGGGGTAGCTATAATTGCAGTAAGGTCCATTGCAAGCAAGCAGCTACAACTTCAAACTTCTTCGGAGGCAGTGGCCATTCGTGCCACCTTGCTTAATAGAACCGTAACTATATGCTCTCTATATATCCCCCGGGTCAAGTGCTTAGCAGGGCTGAATTTGAAGGCCTAGTTAACCAGCTCCCAGAGCCATTCATTTTAACTGGCGATTTCAATGCACGCAACTCACTCTGGAAAGACTCTCGATGTGATGCACTGGGCTGCTTGATAGAGCGGTATCTCTTGAACTCTGGCACATGCCTTCTCAATCAAAACAACCAACATATTACAGCACCTCACACAACACTTATTCTACCATAGACCTGGCAATCTGCTCAGCCACTCTTTTACCCTGCCTAGATTGGGAGGTGGTTCAAAACCGCTACGGCAGTGACCACTTGCCTATCTGCCTCAAGACCACAGAGGAGCATTGTATACCACATAACCCTCAGTGCAGACATGCATGGAAAAAGCGAATAAGGCATGGCATTTGCTACTCCTGCATCTGACAGCAAAAAATTTTGCCGAGGGCAGGCAGACTAGTCGTAGTGCTAAAAGAAATAGCTGGGTGAACTATCTCTTGAGTATCAACTCATACACACTAGAAGTAAAAGTGTGGAATAAACTAAGAAAACTATCAGACAAGCCGTTCAATGTTCTACCTTTTGCTGACAACCAAGGCAACAGCCTTAAAGACCAGGCAAATTTTCCCCAAAACTATTACTGAATGGAATCGTCTGCCTGCTGACAAGGTCAGCATAATAGATAATGAAGCATTTGCGGCCGCTTTTTGACATCTCATTCTGTCTTCAGCTGCAGTCGAATTTTATGCAGTGTTTAGTTTGTATCACATCGTTTTTGTATTTTTATGTTTGTACAGTATACATTTCATTTTTGTTTTCTCTCTTCGTCTGAGTTAGCTGATCTTTATGAAATTAATGTGTATTGACAACAATGTATGCCGCTATTTCTCCTTATTTTTTCACTACCAATGTTCTTGAAATGTATGATTTATAAGTTCTCTGTGTAACCCCCTCCACTGTAATGCCTAAATGGCGCTGTGGGTACGAGTGTAAAATGCACATGGTGAACATTTCAAGTGCGTGTCTAGCTCTTCAAACTACTCGACAAGGTTCGGTAAATACAAGGAAGTAACAGAAAAGAAACCACTGAATTGTAAGCCTAATAGAAATGAACAGTACCATTGTCCCTTGGCATGGCTGAGTTTATGGCTTCCTTGAACGCTTGTCACAACTCTTCTCCGGGAGTCGATAATATCATGTACACAATGTTAAAACATCTACATCCTGATGCACAAATGGTGCTTTTGGGTCTCTACAACAAGATCTGGACTGCGGGTTGTATTCTTTCAGCATGGAAAGAGGCTATTGTAATCCTCGTCCTGAAACAGGGCAAAGAACCATCTTCTGCAGCAAGTTACCGGCCCATAGCCCTGACAAGCTGTCTTTGTAAGCCATTCGAAAGGATGATAAACCGCCGGCTTTTGTACTTTCTCGAAACTAATGGACTACTTAATATGTGTCAGTGCGGTTTCAGACAGGGCCACTCCACAGCCCATTTCGTACGTATTGAAGCCTGAATTCGGGATGCCTTCATCCACAAGCATTTTTTTCTCTGTGTGTTTCTTGATATGGAGAAGGCATATGACACTGCTTGGCAATTTGGAATCTTGAGAGACCTCTCAGAATTTGGTATTCGAGGCAACATGTTAAGCGTGATAGAAAGCTATCTATGTGATCACACCTTCCGCGCCAGAATAGGCAATGCTCTGTCTAAATCATTTATCCAAGAGACTGGTGTACCGCAGGGCGGAGTACTAAGCTGTACCCTTTTCACACTAAAAATGACCTCTCTACGGTCATTCATTCCAAGAAACATGTTTTATTCAGTCTACGTTGATGATGTTTTCATAGACTTTAGATCCTGTAATATTGCAGTATGTGAGCGGCAGAAACAGTCAAGTCTCAATAAGCTGTCAACCTGGGCCAGTGAAAATATGTTCAAATTAAACCCTCAGTAAAGCTCCTGCATTCTTTTCTAAAAAAAGAGTGGCCCAATTCGTCCCCCTTATGTTCATATACAGTCGAATCTCGATAATTCAAACTCGAAGGGGCCTGAAAATTTGTTTGAATTAAAGGAAGTTCGAATGAATGAAAGCTAAATAAACAGAGGGCTCTCCATGCAGTGGCACATGTGCATTGAGCTAACACTCGAGGGGGAAGTTTCAGAAGACTTGCATTTATTCACAAATCACAGGACATCCATCAATAATTGAAGAAATCGGTGATGCATGTCTGCACACGTTTGCCTTGCAGCGAGTCAATCAATTTCGCATGCAGCAAAGCATTTTTACTTTGGCTTCAGCATTCTCCTGGCACGAGAAGTTGCACGAGAAAAATTTCCAGCACCGACACTCTTTAAAGACGACGACAACGACTGCGTAGCGAAGCCGCAGCATAGCCAGCACGTGATGAGAAAGGAGGAGCGTCTCCACGTGGAGAGAAGCAAATCGGCATTTGAAAGAAAACCAACGCTCCATGGCAGCTTTTTTTTTTCTCTCTTCGCACGCGTCGTTTAAAGGAGAAGGGTTACGTGGAGGGACGAGAAAGGGGGAAGCATGGCACCGATGCGCGAGAGACCCCCCCCCCTCAAGGCGGTGAGCCGTGCTCCCGCAAGGAGCAAGGGCTGCAGAAGATAGTGCCTTTTTCCTTTCCTTCAACCACACGCTCATTCAACACCGCGACAGCTTTTTTTTTTCTCTCTCTCTCTTCGCACGCGGCGATTGAAGGAGAAGGGTCTTTACGTGGCAGGGGCGGAAAAGAGAGGAGCGTGGCAGAGGCGCGTCGCAGATCGGCATTTGAGAGAGAGCAAACATTCCACCGCAGCCTTTTCTTTCCTTTTCCTTTCCTATGCGTGCAACGTTGAGGTGTCGCAGGTGCCGCCGCGGGATCAGGAGGGGTGTTGAGAGCAGTTTCGGAGCGTGCTATGTTCTACTTAACCGTCGCAAGTTCTTGCGGGTTCGAATTACCGGGCATTTTCCCCCATTGGAATACGCATAGCTTTGACGGGACCTCATCGTGAGTTCGAATTAAGCGTGTTCGAATTAATGAGATTCGACTGTACAAGGGCACTACATTTCGTTGAACAAAGAAAAATTTTTAGGTGTGATCTTAGACTAAACGCTGACTTTTATATCCTACATAAAATACCTTAAAAACAAATGTCTTAAAACCATAAATATTCTTAAAATACTGTCGCACGCGGCATGGGGCAATGATAGAGAATGCCTCATAAAAGTGTACAAAAGTCTCATACGCACATGCTTAGACTATGGCTCTATGACTTACCATTCTGCCGCTCCAAGTGCTTTGAAAATGCTCGATCCAGTTCATAATCTTGGTATCCGGCTGGCTACTGGAGCATGAGGACAAGTCCAGTAGAGAGCCTTTATGTGGAAAAAGACAAATGGTCGCTCCACTTGCAAAGGTCGTATTTAAGCTTTATGTACTTTCTTAAAATACTATCCAATCCACAGCATCCCACTTACACCACTCTAAATTATGTGAGCTCAGCTACGCTGTATGCACACTGTCCTGCAGTGCCACAGCCGTTCTCATTACGGGTGAGAAATCTAAGTGAAGAAATTAATGTTCTCCTTCAGCATGTTTTACTGCCCCCTGCGAGGCTGTTGCCACCATGGCAGTGGCAGGTATTAGAGTGTGACACATTTTTTGTGGAGGTAACTAAGCATGCCCCAGAAATACACATACAAATGCACTACCGAGAGCTAGAGTCTAAGTACTCATGCCCTGAATTTTTCAGACGCATCAAAATACAACGCAGACGTGTCCTATGCCGCTGTAGGTTCGTCGTTCTCGGAATGTGAGAGGTTGCACCCACAGACGAGTATTTCTACAGCTGAGGCATATGCACTCCTTTCTGCTGTTATATTTATAGTATGAAGCTCCAAAAGGCGGTTATCTATACAGACCCGCTTAGTGTTGTCAAAGCTTTGAAATCACTAAAAAACAGATGAAAATCCAATTCTTGTCGAACACTTTTCAGCTCTGTGCAAAGCGTATCTAGCAGAACAACATGTAATAATATTGTCACGACGTCAAAACAAGAGATCTTCCTGCAGAGATTGAGACACCAGAAACAGGTCGGTCTTTTTAATAGAATGCGCAAGAGAGTTATTCTATTTCATCCATTTCATTGTCCTTCATGGCACATGCACAACTGCCATTGTCTTTTTTTTTGACAAGCACGTGACACTTGCCTCCCTCCGAAAGAGGCATCGTACCGATGCGCAACTTAGGTGCTCTACCAGGCGTATGAAAAGGTCGCGTCAACACGTGTGGGATTCGAGAGCGCCCTCCTACCTGGGGCCTCGTTCCCCAGCTGCCGCGCGCGTGCAGACAGCGTAGTCCGCGCGCGCATAAGCACCGGCATCCGCCAAGATGGCTGCCAGGGCGCCTCTTGGTCTGGGCCAGTCAACCGTCGGCTCCTTCCCGTGCTGGCATGTCCGGACACGCTACGCTGGTGCACTGCGCGGGCCTACGTCACAACGCAGTGCCATTTCCCTTTGGGCGCACGTGACATCCTCCTCTCCTACGAGCTGTGTTGCGCCCGACGATTCGCTCGTCGCGGCAGATGTTCTCAGGCCTCCACGAGAGGTTGACGCGCTGCTTAGCAGGCGGCTTCTCGTTCGAGCGTTCGACTTCGGCCCTTGTGCGGGAGTCGTAGCGCCCTAGGCAAGCGTACTTGCTCAGTCTTGCAAAGTTCCCTATACGGCCTGCAAGCCCGTAAGTGTCGCACTGTGCTGCATCTTGGGTTAATGAACCCGTCGTTCTTGTTTTCCTGCCTCGTGCGTAGTTTCTGCGCCGTGTTGGAGAAAACGACAAACCCGGCCGCAGCGTCGTCGCACGCAGCGGCAGTGGAGGACGTCGCATCCTTACACGGTTGCACTTAGTAGGTAAGCCTAGTGCCAACCTATCTCCACATAACTGGCGCCCAACTTGGCTTCGGCATGGCTTCAGAGCAGACTCCTTCGAGGCGCTCGTTCCTGTTCAATTCTGTGGCGATGGACTTGATCTCGTTCGAGGCGGACGGCTGCAACAGCACGGGGTACGGCCCTCTTGGCGACCCTCTGCTTTCGTTCACCGGGAGAGATCCCTTTATCGGGGCCCCCTACGGTGATGCGAGTCGCTTGAACGAGGGCCACAGTCCTAGCCAAGCCAGTAACGGGCTGTATCAGCTGTTCGAGACTCACGCCCGTCCGCGGCGCAGTCTTACGGGCCCGTCCCCGGCGCAGTCTCCGCTCGCTGGCCTTTCCCCGCCAGCAACACGGTTGACAACTCAAATCGCCGCACCCAGTCCTTCCTACCGGGGGCACTCAGGAGTCGGCGTGAACGTGCTTACTGACCCATCGTGGTCGCGAGCGCAAAAGGTTGACGATTTTGTTTGCGAGCCTGCTCGCTTAACCGACAACGTCGCCGCGTTCACGACGCTCGCTGGCCTGAGACTTGCGCAGGCGACGCTTTCGACGGGCGTTGGCCACCGTGCTTCCGCTGTCGACCCGTTTGCCAGTCGCGTGAAGGCCTCAAGCACCAGTCGGAGCGCAAACCCTACCCTCCTCCATGCCGTGTACTGGCCCTTTTCGGTCAACCGCGCATGTTGGGGAACAGGCGCGCGCACCTGTTACGGGCCGGCGCCCGCCTCGGAGCATCACCGCTGCACGCAACTGCGGCACAGCTCCTAAATGTTCTGTTTGGAAGCAGTACATTCGCAGCCTTGTGCTTTAAAGGGAGACCCCGAATCCCCTCAGCCAAGCGTTCCGAGTAGCTTAAGGATACTTCTGCCTTAGTACAGCGGTTATTCGAACCGCAATCAGTGCCACAGAGTACCTCGATGGCGCTGCACCACTATCAGCAGGCTACGCGGCTGAGCGACAGCGTTATGGTAGGCTCTGTTTTGCCGTGTCGCTGACAGCCCAAGCGGCGAGGTGGCACCGGCTCGTCGGCCACCAAGCTCGCTCGATGGAGGAGCTTAGGGTGCTCATCCGTAGAGAATTCCTTCCTCCTGAATACATGCGTCGCGAGTTAGAGCTTTGCACACAGCATCCCGACAAATCTCTTCCCGAGTACGTTCGGGCTTTGAAGGAGCTCTACCTCCTTGCCGATCCTACTGCATCAGACGCCGAGAAGGTGGAGCGACCCATCCACCAGGCTCGTCCAGCCTTCGCCGCTTACCTTCGGAGCGCCCGCTATCATGACCTAAACGAGCTGGCATCCGATGCGAAGGGTATTCAGGGCGACATTTTGTCGGCGCAAGACTATCGCCCGCAGCCACCGCCTTCCGCGTCTTTCGAGCCTCGTTGCGCATGGGCTGGTCGTGACTCTTCACACTGGGGTTCCCCGAACCATGAGGCGGCCTCTGCCGCGAGACCGAGACGCGCTAGATGTGTTGGACCGCGCACTGGACCCGTACTCGCACGCCAGGCGGCCACCTTTGCCGGCAGCGTGAACAAGAACGGAAAACCCCGTGCTTCCAGTGCAAAGGGGGTATCCGATCGCGGAGCCCCCACTGCGGCTAGCGACGGACACCTCGTAGCTCTAAAGGATCGCCAAAATCCCCCCCCCCTGTTGGAGGAAAAGGCGTGTTCTGCTTTCGTTGCCATGAGCGTGGTCACACCGCGCGAAAGTGCAACGCGGCCCAACGACACAAGGGGCCTGCTCACCCGTCGGGAAACTGGGTGAGCCGTCAGTGAGCTTTTCTTGCCGGCGGCTGCAGCAGTAAAGAGCACTGGAGGTGTAACACACCTCGGCACCGATGGCGTGTCGTGCTGGACATTGACATTCCATCCACGCCGGCGCGTTCAATCGCCCCTTACGATCGCTGGTCGAGATTTTTGCGGCGTTGCTGGGGATAGCGGGGCTTCTATCTCGCTGTTTGGCGAAGAGGTTAGAGCTCATTTGCGCGACCGCTCTGTCCGCATTCGAGCTTGCGACACTGCCTTCTACCTCGCCAGCGGTACCAGCATCTCGTGCGACGCTGCGCGGTTGGTTGTGCGTTGGGAGAATGGCGCACGCCGTCAGCGCTTTGTGCATCTCCCTGGTCTTTCCGTACCTGTGATTCTCGGTCACGACTTTCTCGTGCGCACAGGTATCGTGATTGACGTCCCAAGCGGAGGCTACAGGGACGGCCCTTCTGGCGCCCTACGGCCTTTCGCTGCACCTCCCGTGGTCTCGGCTGCCAGTAAGTCGCCAGACGCCACGAGGAGGAAGGAGGAAAGGAGACCAAGCGTTGCCCCCGCGGCCCGCGTGTCCCCATCTGATGCCAAGACTGGTCCTTTGGCCGGGGCCGCGGAAAACGGTCTGTGCATACAGCGATACGTTCACGGAAAGCCCAGGCTGCACCTCTCTGGTGAGGCAGTGACGCACAACCGTGGAAATGCAATCCTCGCTCCGTTAGTGCGGCAAAGAGGAAAGCAATTGACCAGGCCCTGGATGAGTTGATTGAGACCGGAGTTGTCCAACGCTCAAACAGTCCTTGGGGTTCATTGGTGGTAATGGTCCCCAAAAGAGACGGCTCTCACCGGCTCCGTATGGACCTCCGCCGGCTGAACGAGGTCACGAGTAAGGATGCTTATCCTATGCCTAACGTTGACTCGATCGTGGCTACTCTAGGGGGTGCTTGCTGTTTCAGAGCCGTGGATGCTAGCCGCGGTTACCTACATGTTCAGATGGAGCAAGCTGATGCGGAGAAAACTGCGTTTACCGCTCACAGAAGTTTGTACGAGTTTACCCGCATGCCGTTTGGCTGTTCTGGAGCTGCAGCTACGTTCCAATGATTGATAGACAGCGTTCTAGGGGACGCTAAATGGTAACACGCCAAGGCGTACCTCGACGACATCGTCATCTTCTCTCGAACGTTCGACCACCACGGCGTCTCTCATAATCATATAGTGGTTTTGGGACGTTAAACCCCACATATCAATCAATCAATCTCGAACGTTCGAGGAACACCTTCACCACTTGGAGGATGTCCTCGGGAGGTTGCGTGCTGCCGGGTCGACTTTGAACCCGAAGAAAGCTCAAATAGCTGAGACTCCCATCTCACTATTAGGTTTTACCATTCAGAGCGGTCGTGTTCTGCCGTGCGAGGAGAAGGTACGTGCCATTGTGGAGTACCCGACGCCGGCAAACATTTAGGGCCTGAGGCGCTTTTTGGGCATGGTGAACTACTATCGACAGTTCATCCAAAACTGTGCGGCCCTCCAATCGGCCTTGACTGCACTCTTGAAAAAGTCGGCACGATGGAGCTGGGGGCCAGAACAAGAGCGAACCTTCAAGGCGCTTTCCAAAGCTCTAGTGGCCACAGCCGTGTTAAAGCTGCCCGACCTGAACAGGGAGTTCGTTGTCCAAGCGGGCGCGAGCGACCTGGGTCTCAGCGCGGTACTGCTTCAAGAGAACGACATCGTCTTCCGGGCAGTCGCCTTTGCGAGCCGGTCACTTAACGCCGCCGAGCGTAACTATAGCGTCACAGAAAGCGAATGTCTTGCTATAGTTTTTGCTCTCCGGAAGTTCGGCTGCTATGTCGACGGCGTGCCATTCGTGGTGGAAACGAACCACATGGCACTCACGTGGCTTAAGCGCTCGGGAGCCCTCGGGCCACCTCGTGCGCTGGGCGTTGACCTTGCAGTGGTACAACTTTGTTGTGTGCTACCGGAAAGGGAGTTCGAACGTCGTGGCTGACGCTTTGTCGTGTGCCCCCGTTTTGGCGTGCGGCACTTGTGTCCGCCACTCTTGAGGAGCAGGTCGCCATCAAGTAGACCCGGGCCCTCTGGCTCCAAAAGATCGAAAGGTGCGAACCCTGATGGCGAAGTGACTTTCGAGTCGACAGCCTCGGGTGAGGTAGACCTTGTCACGTCCACCAGTATCATCTTAGCAGAGAGGAGCTGCTCAAGGGCACAGCAGTACGATTCGTTTTGTCAACACTTCGTTGACGAGCTCAAAGAGCTGAGCTCCCAAGTGGAGCGTGGCGGTCAAGCCGCCGGGCGCGAACAGACAGCTGGTATTGCTGTCGGCACAGAGTGCCGTATGCAGGCTGGTATTGCTGCCGCACGTTGGACTCGTACCTGCTTGATGCCGACAGGCGTTCTCTTGCGCTACGTCCATCTGAAGAAGCTCCCTAGGAGTCTTTCAAGGTGGTGATACCCCGCAGTCTAAGGAAAGCCACCCTAGGTTATTTCCACGGCTCGCGGTTGGCCAGACACGCGAGTGGCCTTAAGACTTTCGAAAGTTGTGCCGCTCCGCTACCTGGCCTGGTATGAAGCGCGACGCTCGTTAAGAACCCCAGGGGGGTCGAAATTTCTGGAGCCCTCCACTACGGCGTCTCTAATAATCTTATGGTGGTTTGGGATGTTAAACCCCACATATCAATCAATCAATCAATGAAGCGCAACGCCCTTCACTACGCCCGCTCATGCCGCGTGTTCCACTGCATGAAGCCTCGCGGGGGCAAGCCTCCCGGGCTCATGCAGTCCGATCGACAGCCAACAACCTTGGTAGGTCGCGGCCTGTGACATTATGGGACTTTCCCAGAAGCCGGAGAGGCCATGTTTTTCTCCTGGCTGTCACAGATCACTTCACGAAGTAGGTCGAACTGTTTCCCCTTCGGAAGTTAACGGCACGCGTAATCTGGGACAAAATGACCGAGGTCTTTACCCGCTTTGGCTTTCCGGCGGAGTTGATCACGGACAATGCGTCCTATTTCACGGCCAAGGTGTTTGTGGATGCGTGTGCTGCCTTTGGCATTAGCACCATAAAACAACCACGTATCACCCACAGGCCAACCCGACCGAGGAGATCAACCGGAACCTCAAGCCCTTGCTGACAGCCTTTGTGCAGCAACACAGGATTGGGATGCTTGTCTTAACGAGATCGGCTTCTCCTTGCGGTCTACTGTCAATTCGCTCGACAGGGTACACACCCGCTTTCCCCCAACTTGGGAAAGAGCTGCCTAACCCCATGGACCGCATCCTACGAGGCGGAGGCGGGGCAAGCGCTGCGAAGGTCAGCCTGTCTGGCTACTTGGCGGAACTGCGTTCACGGATGGACACGGCCCTCGACCTGGCGCGTTCCAACCTGGCAAAAGCGCGAGCTGGTCAGAGGCTCAATACGACCGGTCGCATCGGGATGCCCGTTACTACCGCCCACGCCACGGCGACACACTCCGTCTCGGTAGTCGAGTAGTTCTCCTCCTTGCGAGAGACAGTTCTGCTGGTGTAGGCTATTACTCTTTCACAGCCGTCTTGCCACTGCACCAGAACGGCAACCTAGACCTGCATTGCTGGTATCAGTGTGAAGTGCTGTAGGGGCTTTCTGGTCGAAGTGCGCAAGAACTGGAGGTGTTTTGCAGGTGTTGTCGTAGTTCATTGAATGCCATTGCTCTTGTTCACCCCAAAAGAAGGGGACGTCCTCACGTGTGAGTCGTGTCAATGGTGCTGCAATAGACGAAAAGTCCTCGCTAAATCGCCGCTAAGAGGCCACAACCCTAAGAAGCGTCTCGCGGCCTTTTTGTCGCGTGGTGACGGAAATTGCGCTACAGCAGCTCTATTTTGGCCGGGTCAGGTCGAACACCCTCGTGACTGACGACGTGGACTAGGAAGCTGAGTTCGTTGAAACCAAAATGGCATTTTTCCGGTTTTAAAGTAAGGCCGGTCGAACGTATGGCTTGGAGGACGGTGAATAAATGGCTGAGATGTCCTCGAATGTTGCTGAGAATACAATAACATCGTTTAGATAGACCAAGCTGTTTGCCACTTCAGGCCTGATAGTACGGTGTTCATGAGACGCTGAAAAGTGGCTGGCGCCGAGCACCTTAAATTCGTAAAGGTCATCGGGCGTCACAAAAGCGTTTTTTCACAATCTCTCTCGTTGACTTCTCTCTGCCAGTAGCCGCTTCGGAGGTCCATTGAGGAGAAATAGCGCACATGACGCAGCCGATCGAGTGAATCGTCTATGCGGGGCAGTGGACAGACGTCTTTCTTCGTGACTTGGTTCAACTTGCGACAATCAATACATAAGCGCAAGCTGCCATCTTTTTTCTTGACCAAACCACGGAGGATGCCCAAGGATTTTGAAGGTTGTATGACGTCATCCGCAAGCATCTTGTGTACTTGCTTTTGAATCTCCGTGCCCTCTTTCGGAGCCACACGGTAGGGGTTCTTCCGAATCGGTCGCGGGTTGTATTCAGTAATGATGCGGTGCTTTGTCAATGGTCTTTGCTGGACCTTTGACGTACGCGAAAAGCAGTCTTCGAATCGGCGTATAAGATCAAGCAGGCGCTTCCTATCAGAGGGCGGTAGCATGGAGCAGATGTCCATCGGCAAAGTTGTTGAGGCGGGGACAGTCGCATCAACTGGTTGCAAAGCAAAACAATTCCTGACTTGGTCTACATCGTCGTAGTAGGCAATTGCGGTACCCTTCTGGATTTGACGGTGCTCATTGCTGAAGTTTGTGAGAAGCACTTCTGCTACGCTGATGTGGCGACGGACCACATCAGCGTAGCTCACTGGATGTGGCTCAGGGCTTGGCGCGCCGCGGGTGGTGTAATGGCTTTCCTCAACTCCTGGCGGACGATTTCGGCAACAGATGCGGCTGGGGGTTGGTAGGGGGAACGCAGAGGGCCCGAAGTTCCTCAAGCCGTATTTCCCCAATCATTTGTCGCAGGGAACTTTCGCATACGGCAGTGTTCTGAGCTGCAGCACTTACTGCCGTGTGGTTCGGCAGGCGGTCAAAGTGTCGGCATCGTTGTTGCAGTGCGCGCTCGATGACAGTCGCCTCTCTTATGAATTCATCTACTGTTGTAGGTGGATTTCGTAGGAGGCCTGCAAACACTGGTTCCTTAACACCCTGCATTAGGTGACGCACCTTCTTCGCCTCGGGCATGTCAGGGTCAGCTCGTCGAAACAGACAGATCATACCCTCTGCGTACATGGCGGCTGTTTCATTGGGTTTTTTGCACGCGGGCCTTAATCAGTTGCTTTGCGCGATTCGTCGGTCCGAGTTCGAAAATGTAGCGAGGAGCTTTCGACGGAAGTCTTCCCAAGATTGGAATGTAGTCTCTTGGTTCTCATACCACGTGCGAGCGCTATCTTCTAGTGCGAAATATGCACGGCCAAGTTTGTGCTGTTCGCTGCAGTGGTTGGATGCAGCGACCCGTACGAACTGTTCGAGCCAGTCCTCGACATCCTCGTACTCTCCCCACGGAAAACTTCAAGAACGCGAGGAATTTCAAGAGTCACCTGCGAGGGAAGAGTGGTCTGCGATGGCGGGATAACTGTGGATGTCGTAGGAGCTGCCATGCTGGAAAGAGGCGGAACAGGTGCGGACTCTGGACTTAGGCCTAGTAGGCGCCGACTGAGTCAGTGCACTGGAGTCGTGACGAGGGGCTGAGTCTCTGGACTAGGTGAACGGGTCCGACCAAGACTGTCCTGCATCACGTGTTAGGCTCCAGCACCTCCACCAGTGTCACGACGTCAAAACAGAGGTCTTGTCGCAGAGATTGAGACACCAAAAGCAGGTCGGTCTATTTAATAGAATGCGCAAGAGAGTTCTTCTTTTTCATCTATTTCATTGTCCTTCATGGCACATGCACAACTGCCATTGTCTTTCTTTTGGCAAGCACGTGACAATATGCTGGGTTCTGGCCATAGGGGCATTGAAGGCAATGTGCTTGCTGACAGAATGGCAACTACCATGGGAATGGAATCTAGGAACCTTTCTATATGTGTTCCTGCCTTACATCTTGGAACATTTGTTCCTAGAAAGGTGAGGGACTACTGGCAGCGATTGTGGGATACTACGACTTCGAACAAACTTCACCTAATCAAGCCACAGATAGGAAAATGGCCCGCCTTGTAGTAAAGTGTGACGCACTGAGGTCACGCTCTGCCGACTAAGAGTACATACATACGATACGCACACCAACCTGCTCCTTGGCTATGATCCTTCTATCTGTGGTGAGTGTGGCGAGACACTAACGGTGCTTCACACATTATTGGAATGCCGAAGACTTTACACACTAAAAAGAAAGTACTTTCCCCTGGCGTATAAACAGAATATACCACTACACCCAGTGCTACTCCTTGGCTCAGACACCTTATTCAGCACAGGCTCGATTTTAGGCTTTTTATATTGAATCTCAAATATCGCGTGTTATTGCCCCTGCAGTGCCGTAGCCCAGCCTCTCAGGAGAGGCTGCTGCTGCGGTTGGTTTAAGAGGCGCATGTCTCCAAGCCCTTGAGGTCAAGCAAGGGCCCTGTTAAGGCATTAGTGCCATTTTCACGAAACACCATCGCAATTTGTTAATCTCTTGTCAACTACCTCTAATCAGTTTTAACCTCCTACCACTACGATATGTAGCTCATCGTCCACCCCAGTACTCGCACCGAAATTCTATTTGTTGTTATATCTCTTTTAGGTCTTTTTACAGCCACGGTATCATTAACACATTATTACTCATAATTCATCGGCATTCCAACATAAATTGACATGGCGTTCTTTGGCCCTTGCGCCACAAAACACCATTACATCATCATCATCACCATCATCCCTACACAAGTCCCTCTGTGTATGCACAGTTTTTCAAACAGAGCAAAATGGAACACTGAGAATGTGACTCGGGAGCTGACTTTGTCAGAGGACAAGGGAAGGTGCAAGATGCTAAGCAGGGGTTGCAAGCTTTTGATGAGGTGTTCATCTTGCAGATAAGCGATTTCCTTGTCAAGTAACTGAACGGATGGTGAAACCGACACATGAAGGGCCTTGCTTGATAGGAATGAAGGCCTCAGTGATATCGCAGGTGATATCAATCAGGCATTCATCTTTTTTTTTTTTTTTTTCAAAACGAAGCACGCAGCTACAAGCATTCTTGCATAGGCGGACTACAAGATTCATCATTACTCCATGGCATCCTGGTTCTCTCTACCTGCTTGGACTTGTGTCAAGGCCTCAGCTGGGTCCTGCCTTGAAGATATCAAATATTGGGGAAATGTGAATATTCATTTTTGCGAATGAATTGAATTATTTTTTTTTTATGTGATCATGTTAAAGAACTCATTTCACAGGAACTCGGGCGTTGGTAGCATTGGTTGTGAGACAAAAAAAATATCTTTTCCGTGACCAACAAAGTCGAGAAAGACTCAAGTGAAATGAACAACAAAAATTTCTGGGTCCAAGTGAGAATCGAACGCAGGCCTTATGCATGGAAGCATGTGTTCTACCTCAGAGCCATGAAATTTGTTGAAACTATATTGGAAAAAGCACTATATGAGTGTTGTTTAGTGGAAAGAGTCTCCTTAACGCATCAAATATTGAGTGGCAGAAGTGTAGAATCGCGCCAGGCATCACAACATGTCAATGAGCGACGAGTTAGTGTTTTAACCAGTTTAGCCCATTTATGACAGAATCGCACTCAGATATTTTTAATCATCAGCAGCAGAACCATCGACAAAGTGAACAGCTAACTGCATAGGTTCGCGTGTTGCCCTATAACGTGCAGTGGGCCCTTCGCTGATTTGCAAAACAAATACCCTATTTACTCGCGTAGTGAATGCAATTTTTTCTCATAAAATCAGAGAAAAGTAGAGGGTGAGTTTATTTTATGGGGCAAATTTTATGAAAACTTTTTCGGTATGAGCAAAATAGTTAGGTCGCCTCAGCTTTTTTGTTGCGCTGCACTAATCTTCAGTGGCTAAAGGTGCTATTGTTTGCAAGCTGTTCCCATGCCGCCCGTGCACGGCGTAAAGAGTTTCGCAGCTATCTTTTCTCATAATTGCTCAACTGCAAATGTGGTATCTGCTGTGATCTCAAAGGGCTCGCTCGCTCCTGTGTGCTTGTTAACTGCAATGTCTCAACACTCGCACCATTTGTGAACCCCACTGTAGCGCATAGATATTTTAAAAAAGACTGGATACGTGCCACTGCCACGCACAAATAGAAAGGAACTTATACGGCGTGTGGCAGTTGAAGGGGGAGGGGGTTGGCATAATATTAATAAAGAATGGAAGAGATTCAACGGGCAGGAGGCGCCAGGTGTCACTTGGCATGGGACTGCAGCGGACGAATGTACGGGGTTAGTTTATTATGCAGAGAAAAGAAAAATTCAAATTTTCACGACTGAGGTTGGCTGTGCGGTTTGTTATGGGGATTTTTCATGTGAGTGCATCATTATGCGAGTAAATATGGTAGTTGGGGGGGCACTTAACTGTGCTTGCAACTTTGAAGTGGCTAATGTTAAGGGCACAGATGGATGTATCATTACGGTTTGGTTGAAGCATGCACGGAGAACTGAAGCAAGCTAGCAGTTCAGAAGATGTGCTCAAGCCCCGCCGCGGTGGTCTAGTGGCTAAGGTACTCGGCTGCTGACCCGCAGGTCGCGGTTCGAATCCCGGCTGCAGCGGCTGCATTTCCGATGGAGGCGGAAGTGTTGTAGGCCCGTGTGCACAGATTGGGTGCACGTTAAAGAACCCCAGGTGGTCGAAATTTCCAAAGCCCTCCACTACGGCGTCTCTCATAATTATATGGTGGTTTTGGGACGTTAACCCCACATATCTATCTATCAGAAGATGTGCTCAAGTCCCGGTTACACAACCGCGACCTCATGGCACATGCATTCCTCGAAATAGTCGCAGTTGGGGCCACCAAGTGACGCACAGGTTATAGTTGGCATGGCATCTATAACCATTTGTACTTCAATACTGCTGCTTTACCCAATGTCTTATATAACGTAGAGCCATTTTTGTTGACTAGCTTATTTTTTTCGCCTACGGTGCTTCCCATCCAGGAGCTGCCACGTACCTGATTTCTGGGAATGCTTTGCTTACAGCGGCGCAAGAAGCACCACGATAGTGAAGCATCTGGCAGCAAGAAGAAGAAGAAAGCCAAGACGGCCACCCTGCTGCAACAGGACGTTCCCAAAGACAAGCGAGAGTACGAAGAGGCGCCAGGCATCACCACACCATCGAAGGAGCCCAGCTTCAGTGCCACCCAGACACCCATGACACCCAGCATGCCACCAGTCAGTGAGCTGTCCAGAACCTTTCTCTTTATTTTTTAAGGAGCTTATTGCCCCAATAATCGATGGCTGCAAAATTTTTCAGAACTCTTCCAGCATGTGTGGAGTTGAAAATATTTGTTGCATGCTGCAATTTCTTTCTCTCCTCTCTCGTCCCGACGAAATTGCTGGAAGCTAAGGCGGCAGGAATGGTGCAGGGGTGAAAAAATAAGTTACAGGTGCCTCGTGACCTTCAGCACTTTTTCTCTTATTTCTTGGAATGCAGAACTTTTTAATGTTATCGCGCACCTCAGAAAGTGCTCAAATCATGCTCAAAAAGTGTTGTAGTGGCGACGTGGGTCTTTAAAAAATGTTTTCTTTGTTAGCTGAGTTAAGTGAAGGGACCTTAATACATTTATTCAGTTTTATTTTTTGTGGATCCAAGTCTTCAAGTACAGAAAAACCTCGTTAATTTCAAGTCTGGTATTTTGAACTCGTCTGGTATTCGAACGATTTTAGTTATCCTGTATTTTGCAATGCAAGTGTGGGTGGATTATTTGAAGCAGCTGTCAGCACCAGTCTAGTTAATTTAAACACTTTGATGCCATGCGCCAATTCTCGATTTCGCTGCAGATCCGCGGAGGCTGTTAGAAGCCACAAAGCAATGTGGTGTAGCAATACAATGAGTGACAGGTGGAGCACCCCAGCCAAAAAAAAAATGTGATGAACTCAAATGTGAGCTTTTGGAAAAAACTTGCTTCATTTGCCTTGATGGCAACAGGTGGCACCGACTGACACGCTCTCTTATTTAAATGCATATATATATATATATATATGCCCTATAAATTGACTGGGGCATAACTGCCACCGTAGCTCAGTGGTAGCGGCACTATTTTGCTAGGCGGCACTATTTTGAAAAACTTGAAAACAAAATAAAAACTAATTCAAAGGCGTTCTGGCAATACATGAAAGGCTATGGAGCAGACCCCTTGGGAATCACCAAAATTATCTTCAATAATAAGGAGTTATTAGACGACACTGAGAAAGCTACCTGTTTAAACAACTACTTCCTTTCCGTATACTTGCCGAAATATAGCTCTAGTGCTTCGCAATGCACAGGTTCCGTGCCGAAAATGCAATCAGTAGAGTTAAGTGTGAATGGAATTAGGGCATTACTAAACAAACTTACCGATAATAAGGCAATTGGACCGGACGGAATTTCACCTCGAGTCCTAAAGCAGTGTGCTGAGTCAATTTCTCTTTACCTGCACGTAATCTACACAAAGTCTTTGTCCTCCGGTGCCCTCCAAGACGACTCAAAAATTGCACATACAGTTCCTATTAATAAAAGTGGGTCCAAGAAAGACGTAACCAACTATAGACCTATTTCACTTACGTCCATACCCTGCAAGTTATTAGAGCATATTCTGTATAAAAAAATAATAGCACATTATCAACAAACAACTTGCTGGCGTCTCAACAACATGGTTTTCGTAAGGGCTTATCTTGTGCAACACAATTAATTGAATTTAACCATGATTTAGTATCTGAAATAGACAATAGCGGACAAATCGATTGCCTTTTCCTGGATTTCCAAAAAGCTTTCGACACTGTGTCGCACTCTTTTCTTTTAAGTAAGCTTGCTGCGCTAAACATTGACCACAAAGTTTTGGTGTGGATAGATAATTACCTTTCAGGCTGCCAACAGTGTGTAGTATTAAATGGCAAAAAATCAAGTTTTGTAAACATCACTTCAGGGGTGCCACAGGGCTCAGTCCTAGGGCCACTTTTATTTTTAATATATATAAATGACATTTGCTCAGGAATTGATTCTAATATACGGTTGTTTGCAGATGACTGTGTCGTGTGCAGAAAAATTAGAAGTGAGTGATGTCGCCCTGCTCCAAAGCGACTTATCTCGCATCCAAGAATGGTGTTCAAGGTGGAAAATGACATTAAATGCCAATAATGCATTCATGTTACTTTCACGCGTAAAAAAACCAAGTCAGCTTCAGAGTATGTAATCTGTAATAGTATAGTAACACAAAAACCGCATTATAAATATTTAGGTGTAACTTTTTCAGCCGACTGTTCATGGAATGCACACGTTTTTTTTCGGTCTATGTCATCTACAGCAATTTGCCAGTAGCCAGATCGGAGGTCGAGAGATAAAAAGAAGGTGGCGCCATGGAGGCAATCGAGGGCATCGTCAATGCATGGTAGAGGGTACAGGTCTTTTTTGATAATTTTGGTGAGGTGGGGATAGTCAATGCAGAAATGCCATGAGCTGTCTTTCTTCTTTACTAATACCACGGGAGATGCCCGAGAGTTCGATGATCGTTCAATTACGTTTCCGTAAGCATTTTGGCCACTTCTTTTTTAATCACTTCTCGCCCGGGCGCTGACACGCGGTACGGCTGACGGTGAATGGGGGCAGAGTCACTAGTGTTGATTCGGTGAGTGACAATTTTAGTCTGGCCCAAGGGACGATCACGGGTGTCGAAAGGTCACTGTATGAGGTCAAAACCTGGCAGAGAGAGTCAGCCTGGTGAGGCGAAAGCTCCGATCCAATCATGTTTCGAAAATTAGCATCGTTATAGCTGGGTGACCGTGAGACTGCGCTTCGATCAGGAGCAGATACAGCGACAACACTGACATCATCGTCTGTTATGGCAGTTAGCTTGGCTAGAGACATCTGACAGGGCAACACTTTAAGGGTGAAACCAAAGTTAAGGAGTGGAAGGAACACGCAGTTATCCGCTATGGTTGCGATGGTATGGGGCACAGTAACCCTGCGCGTCAGCCAAACGTAAGTAATCGGCGTAACGATATAATCACCGTCAGGAACAGGAGGGGCCGATGATAAAGACATGTACGTGCAGGCGAACGAAAGTGGTTGGACTCAAGCGGCTGGTGGGTTTTGCAGAATAGTCGGCAAAGATTGGAAGATCGAGGCTTAGGGTACCAGATGAAGTCAATTAAGGCCGAGTGTGCCGAAAGGAAATCAAGGCCAAGTATGAGGTCATGAGGGCAACAGGCTAGTACGGCAAAAAGGACCACGGCGGTTAGGTTAGGTTAGGACCGGCAATGCTGACATGAGCAGTGCACATTCTGATTACTGGACCGCCATCGGCAACACGTATTGTCTGCATTGTAGACGGCGCCATATTCTTTTCCAAGCGACAGCGTAGAGAAGCGCTCGTAATAGACAGGTGCGCACCTGTGTCAATGAGGGCGGTCACAGGAACATGGTCGACTTGCACTTCAAGCAGGCTGTAGTGCGTGGGAAGCTTCAGTAGTGGATTTTTTGCCGTCATTGGTATTGCAGCTTCACCTCTTTAAGCTGCAATATTTAGTTTTCCTGCTGCGATCGTCCAGAGAAGCTCGGCGTGGAAAAGCGTCAAGGTGGCAGAGAGCGAGATTGGCGGCGTAGCGGTGACGGTGAGCGGGAGTTGCGGCGAATGGACAAAGGGGCGTCAGTGTAGCGGTGACCGGGCAAAGTGGCGTCAGTGAAAGGCTCGTAAGATGACGATGAATAGAAATTGAAGGGTGCGACGACTGAACGTCGAGGGGTGGTAGGGTGCACCCTACCATGCATGCACCCTACATGCACCCTACCACCCCTCGACTGAACGTCGAGGGTGGTAGGGTGCATGTGCACAGAGGTAGAGAACGTCTGACGTGGTTCGTGTGACCACAGCGGCGGCAATAGCGAGAAACGTGCCCAGGCTGGTGGCAGGAAAAACAAATAAGCCGGTCGTCCGGGGTTCGCCATTTCAAAAAGTTATGGAAGGGCATTGTTGGAGGCAAACGGCGAGCGTGTCCTGGGTAGTAAGACGGTACTTCAGGGCTGGTCAAGGGACATACTGAGGGAAAGCCGAGGTTTGCAAACTCCTGCCTCACTATAGCTTGTATGAACTCCACTGACGGCTGTTGTTGGTCAGAGGCGAGCGTTGCAAAACGGGTGGCTGAAGAGGAACGGGATAGGCGACTTCGATTTCTGACAAACAATGCGCGTGACATTGTCATACGTGGGGGACTGGCAGGCGGCTGTACACGATGAGATTGCAGCCGTGTTGGGCAGCCGGGTGAATCGCTCAGTAATATGACTGCTCTTGACTTCTCCAAACCGCCGGCACTCTTTAATGATGGCGTCATCCGGTGGCAACGTCGTTGTATACTAGAAGATTAAAGACGTCGTCTGCTATGCCATCCAGCACATGGGCCACTTTCTCAGACTCACTCATGTGCTCGTCAATCTGGCGGCATTGTACGTTGATTTCGTGAATGTACGCGACGTACGATACCGTTGACATCTGTGCACGAGCTGCGAGTTGATTCCATGCTGCGATCTGCCGTCCAAGGGTGTCGCCAAAAAAGGCCGCGGATCTTCTCTTTAAAGGAGTCCCCGCTTGTAATCTCCGCTTCGCGTGTCTCGAACCACACCCGCGTTGGGCCATCAAGGTAAAAAAGCACATTGGCAAACATAAGAGTCGGGCCTCACCTATAGCTTGTGCTGACTCGTTAATACCGGTTGATCCATTTGTCGACGTAAACGCCGTCCTGACCGGAAAATACACCGGGATCACGAGCAGGAGGTAGAACGACATACATAGAAGTCATGGAAGGGGCAGGCGGTGAAAACGATAATTGTTCAACCTGTGACATGGTTGGACCTATGATTATACGGCCGTTGCTGAGCTGCGTGACGAAGACAGGGAAGTACCCCGCAACTCCACCACAAAGATGTTACGTAAATATGACATGAGGTGTGTCTATTAGAATCTATATTGACACTGATGCGTATAGCGTCGACTAAGATGGAGGACAGCACGCACAACCGACAGACCACTTCCTCGTTGTCTTCTTATGACCGTTTGATATGTCAGCTAGTAGCAATATTGTCAGTTCTCATTAATGTTGCGCCTAACAAGGAAAACGAGCCCTTAAATTTATTCACTGCAGCACAGTGGCGACAAGAAGGCAGCACGTCGCATGCTTCCCGCAACGCATCATGATTTACCTCTTCTTTATGGAAATGTGTAGAAAATTAGTAAAGGTCAGTCTGATGCAATTCGTGATGTATGTGAACATGCAATAGGTGGTTTCTTCAGCAATGTGGTCGCTTGCACTGGTGGCAGAGTTCTGCCTGACGCCCCTACTTCTAGAACTCAGTTTGAAAGCTTCAATGATCGTGTTTTTTAGAGAAAACACATACAAAACAAATTCCTTCACACTGGCAATTATTAAATTTTTTTATTTTACTAGGAAAAATGGGCGGATGGTTGCATCTAGAGGCACAGACGCTGCAAGAAGCAGGTGACATGCTTCCCGTGTGCTACGAGTATGTTGCAGAGAGGCACGTTTTTTTTCTGCAGGCAGACATATTGGCTGACTACAAGACTTTTTTTTTACCCGCTGGCAGCAGCGGTGTCTGCTGTTGATCCGTGTTTATGGCGAAATTAGGCCCAGGTATTGCAGAAACCCCTGGAGCTGTGAAGTAGCCGGCACAGCTAATGACAGTCTCCGATTACTTGTAATAATTCAAAGTTTCTTGCATCCTATTTTTGTATGCTTTGTTAATTCAAAAACCCGCATAATTTGAAGATTCTTCACAGTCCCAATTACATTGAAATAATGAGGTTTTGCTGTATATTTTTATTATCTACATTATATCAAAAGATATACAGTTTTTGAAAACCTATTTCTCACCGTGCTTTTTGATTTGATTGATTTGTGGGGTTTAACGTCCCAAAACCATCATATGATTATGAGAGACGCCGTAGTGGAGGGCTCTGGAAATTTTGACCACCTGGGGTTCTTTAATGTGCACCCAAATCTGAGCACACGAGCCTACAGCGTTTCTGCCTCCATCGGCAATGCAGCCGCCGCAGTCGGGATTTGATCCCGCGACCTGCGGGTCAGCAGCCAAGTATCTTAGCCACTAGACCACTGCGGTAGGGCAATCACTGTGCTTTTTGGCAACTTTGCTAAACCAAAAACAAAGTATGTAGTAAGAGGGTAGCCAACGATTCAAAGTTTTCATCTAATTTGATTTCAAGATAAACAGATGCTAATATGAGTGAAAAAATTTTTCTTCATACACTTCATGATTATCGACCATGATAATTTGGTAAACAATTTTCGAGAAAATGAATAGCATCATGGGCTAAAACAGCTTTCTGGCTATCTTACCGCATACTTTGTTTTTGTGTTTGACAAAGAGAAGTTTCCAAAAGTCCTTGTAAGAATTATGCCAGAAAATGCTTAAATCGCACATCTCTTCAAATCTAGCTATTGAAGATATAATCAGAGATTTGGAATGTGCAGAAAAAAAAACTGAATAGGTGGATGAAATTCGCTCCTATTCAATCTACTATTTAAAAAAAACACACAAATTTTCAAAGACCCACGTTCTCCCCTTAAGATCAAACCTCTTTACAACACGTGCTGATTTATAAAGATATATTTATTTTTACTTATTGAGCGCCTGATTTTTCAAAACCACTGCATTTCAACAGTAGTCTTGATAAATCAAGCAATGCTGGGGCCAATGAGCCCACACCAGTTACTGGTAATGATTTGCAGTACCTCTGCAAGGTTATCACCAGGCTTTCTTGAATGATATGTGTCCCATTGCCATGGTTAGTTACAGATGGCTGTATATTTTGCCCAAGTGAGTCACAACGAAAAAATATTAGCACAAATAAATGGCAGGTGTTCGGAGTTACACGATTGTGACGCTGTTACAATTGTCAGATTGTCAAGTACATTCCTTTTTCCTAAGCAGGGGTGGCCAGCAGACTGTCAAAAAGCAGCCCATCTGGTGGTTGACCCATCTGAATTCCCATACCTTAAACACTTGTTCGTTTCTTATCGGCAGACTTGACTTTTTTTCGATGGAGTTGCGAACAACCATATCTTTATTGCATTCGCCTCCAGAAAAGATGTTTGTAGAAGTGTTTTCCACCAGCCACATCGGTGTGCTCGAAAAAAAGGGGCCGCGTGTCGCAATCTTGCCACTCCGACGACCAGTCACTTGTGCCAATTTTTTTCTGTTACGACTCTACCTCCGAAAACTATTGTACATTTGTCTTCTCTCATGGCGAAATGATATCCTTGCAAATTTTTTCAGCCTGCCTCTAATTACAAGCTTCTGGCTGAGGACAAGAATATTAAACTGGTGAGTGATGTCATTTTTCAAATTGCATACATTTTCGCAAAACAAGTACTTGTGCGTGGAGGTCAAGTGTTTTCTTATTTTTTTAATCAATTTTTATGAAACTTGGTGACATCAGGTATATTTGTGTGCTCATTTCAAATATCCAATTGTTTTTCTAGTATAATGTGTCACATTTAAAATATGAAATATTTCATGTGCCTTTTGGGAGGCAAATTTTTTTTTCAAACTGAGTTACAAAGTAAATAAGCAAATCACAATAATATGGCAGCGCAACAAAAATGAATGTTCTAAACCCATCTGACCAAAAGTTGTGGTGTGTTGAACTTTTGAGAGTGAGTCAATTTCAAGGTGGGATATCACTCTTCAATGTTCAACGTAGCATAACTTTTGCACTAATAGTTAAATATCCATTTTTGTTGCACTTCTTACAATTCTGATTCCAAACTATTATGCTATGCTCATTTACAATTGTAACTCACTTAGTTTTAAAAAAGAAAGTTACCTTGCTCCCCAAAATTGCAATTGTGTCACTTGCAGTTTGCAGGTGGCAGGTAGCACAAAGTTTGCAGTTGTGCCAACTGCAAACTTCTTTCTAGCTTGCAGTTGGCACAAGGCTCTGCCAGATGGAGCGGAAGTTTGGCAAGCGTTTTATGGCCCTGCCTGCGAGCGAAATGTCTTTGAGGAGTCTGCTCGAAAAAGCCGAGAGGGACAAACTCATGGTGTTAGCGTATTTTAATGGCAGGGGCCAGTACAAGAAGGAGTGTTTTTTTTTTTTTGGTGTGTAAATTTCATCAAATTTAATAATATCTTTCACAAATAAAAACTCAATTGTAACTTTAAAACTCATTTTTCTCATAACAGAAATTTTGGCATTTTTTGTAATGTGCCCCTCCTTTTTCGGCCACTTGTAGTGCTTCGATCAGCATGAAGTTTTGCCAAAATTTTTTCCACAGTGTGACAAATACAGTTATCTAGTTTAAATTTCAATATTTTATTGTATAATAAAAATTGTATGTAAAGCTTTACTAGGGTAGGTTAAATATGGACTTTTTACGTGTATTACTTTTCATGCCTATTACATATTTTGTATATGCTTCATAATTAGTTATTTGCATTCTACACTTTATTTGAAACATTATGAACTATGAATGGTAAAAAATTATGGAAGTTTAGGGATGAAAAGAAGGGGGCTGAAGAGTTAAGGTTTTCACTTTGTCATATTGCAGAGCTAAAACTGTGCAACTTGCAAGAAAACTAATCATATATTTGAAATCAGCATAAAAGGTTTCATAAGCAGCTCAAGTTTCATGGCTCTAGGGTGAATATTAAAAAAAAAGTGTCTTCAAGTAGCGTCTCCCCTTAATTCAAACAAAATTTAATTTTTGGTTGGCCCTCTATTCTTTCAGTGTATTTAAAAGCCTCTTCAAACTTCATAATTCAATTAATTCATACTTTTTGCATTTCCACACCAAAAGAAATCTGCTGCTTTCCTGCTACTATTTAAAAATCTGCGTGCTTATATAATCCTAACACTCTAAAAATGAAAAACAAGCCCCTCAGGCATTTAAGGAAAGAGCCTTTGATAGTAAGCAAATGTTTTAAACGAAGCACACCTATGGTAAACCATGATGCTTTTCAACTGGTATAGAGAGGTTTGTGCGGAAGGCACATATAGCAAAGAAACAGTTGGCAATTCATGATGTTGGAAATTCACGAATTAAAAAGAAAAATTGCTTAAGAGCGATGTTCTCATAATAAGCAAAAATCAGCAGTAACAAGGGGGTTGCATTGCAGACTTACGAAGTGCGCACGCTGCCCATGGTGCGGGACCAGGTGTTGGTGTCGGTGATATTCACCAACCTCAGCCTGTACCAGCTCAAGGAGATGGAGCTGAACATTCTGGACACGCTCAACACCAAGATGCTACGAAGGGTGAGAGCTGGGTGTATTTCATTTATATCTACCCCTAATTGCCGGGGCCCTTTTGGGCTATTATGTATGATGCATGAATCAAGATGATGTATTCACACATTGCGAGAAGGGATTATGCAAAGTGATGAAAACAAGCTATATAACCAAAACATGTGAAAAAAACTGGATGCCTTGCACAAAGGAATATTAGAGGAGAGGTGGAAAATTGACTAATGCAAACATAACATTAAAAGCACTAATGAATGCAGTATGCAGTAATGCCTACATGTAACAACCCCACTTAAAACAAACTGTACCGCATTACTGTGGAAATATGCATTACAGTAAAACAATATTAATTCAAACTCTGTTATTTTGGAATCCTTCTTAATTACAGTGCAGACCACTTATAACGTAACCGCTTTTTGCGCGGGACCGGTTATAACGGGGGTTTTTTTGACCACCCATATGTCGCCCATAGAACTCAATGTATAGGCCGACCGTTTATTGCGTAGGCGCGCGAAGGAGAATAGCGGTTATAGCACGGAGTTTTTAGGCGCGCGACCATAAAATCGGCGAACGGAGCTCGCTCGGCACGGTTTCCCGGCGCGCTGGAACGTTGGGAGTGTGAGCGGGAGAGCGCACGTGGAGACCGCCGCGAAAAGTCAAACATCGCGGAGGAGAAGAGAGGATACACTAGGGAGGGAGTCGGAGAGACCTTGGAAGGAGGGAGCGTGTTTTCGTCACCGTGGCAACCGTGGCAGCGTCCAATCCGGGTGCGCACTGCGCGGAGTGGGGGAGAGAAGCGGTAGCATGCTTTTTTTTTTCTCAACCTCCTTCTTTTGGCTCTTTGGATTTGCTGTGTGCGCTTCGCCGTGTCATTGCCATCTGAGAGCCCAGAGCACGTGTGTTGCGTAGCTCCTGTCGCCATGGGGTAGGCGGCGTCTTCAAAAAGCGGCGTCGATGTGAAAAAACGCCGTGCCTTATCGCTGGAGATTAAGGAATGCGTCATAAGGGGCATTGAGAGTGGCCTGAAGAAGGCGTCGGTGGCAGCAAAATACGGCGTTTCCGACACGACCGTGTCGACCATCTACAAAAACAAGGACAAACTGCGGCAGCAACTGCAGCAAGATTCGTCTTCCCTGTCATGGAAGAGAATACGTACGTCAAAGTACGAAGACGTGGACGCAGCGCTGTTCAGGTGGTTCCGCGAAGTTAGGGCTCAGAGCATCCCAGTAAGTGGCCCCATGCTCCAACAAAAGGCCAAGTGTCTCGGAGCTCTTTTAGGCCACGACTTCAATCCACTCAACGGGTGGATTCAGCGTTTCAGATCACCATGCCATCAGCTGCAAAGTGGTCTGCGGAGAAAGCGGCGCTGTCGACGACGAGTCTATCGAAGTCTGGCTTCGCTTGAACTTGGAGAGTATGCTGTCGACCTATACTGACAGAGACATTTATAATGCCAATGAAGCTGGTTTATTTTATAACCTTTTGCCCAACCGCACGCTTGCGCTGAAAGGCGAAGCCTGCTCCGGCCACAAGGTCTCAAAAGAGCGCATAACTGTATTGTTTTGCGCCAATTTGGACGGGAGCGACAAGCGCCGCCTCTTTTTCATAGGTAAATCGGCAAGGCCACGTTGCTTTAAAAAGCGAGAGTGCCTGCCAGTGACCTACAACGCCAATAAAAAGGCGTGGATGACGCAGAATTTGTTCACCAGCTGGCTTTGCAAGTTTGATGAGGATATGGTGGCAGAGAAGTGGCAGGTCGTGCTTATCCTCAACAACTGCACGGCCCACAACGTCAAGCCGAAGTTGACCGCAGTCAACCTAAAGTTTTTGCCTGCCAACACTACAGCAAAAAGTCAACCTCTCGACCAGGGTGTCATCGCAACCGTAAAGGCGCTGTACAAAAAGCGCATTTGCGAGAGAGTTTTGCTGAGCATGCAGCAGCAGCAGCCTCTTAAAGTGAACTTAAGAGGCGCAATTGACATGGTGGTCGCATCTTAGTGGCAGGTAAAGGCCGATACCATAAGCAAGTGTTTCAAGAGGGCAGGCTTCGTGCGCAATGCAGAGGCTCTGGAAGACGATGAGCAGAGCCACACGTCGCTCGCCGATGAGACCCTCAACACTGACGACGTGTGGTCCTGCCTCGTTGACAGCAACTTTGTAACCGCCACCGACACTTTCCAAGAATTTGCCGATGCCGGGGAGTCGAAGCTTTCTGTCTGCAAGAAAGCGAGCACAGATGACGCGATCGTCGCAGCGGTGCGCGGTAGTGCAGAGGTTGCAACGGGCGACGAGTCGGACAGCGAAGACGATGTCGACCCGACGCCAGAACCAGATTTCCTGTGCAAAGACACATTGGAATACCTCTCTAAAGTGAAAACGTACTGCGCGAAAAACAGTTCGAGCGAGAAATCGCTCCAGTGCTTAAGCTTTGTGGAGGACGAAATTGTTCGCAGCGCTGTTCGCGAGCATCGCCAGACGAAAATAACGGCATTCTTCTGCTGATGCCGGACTTGAGAACTTTGTTTCCGTGCGGTGTTGTGATTGTGTTGAATGTGTCTGCGAGTGAAAAGTGTAGTAAATTGCTTTTGAAAGGTGGGTTGCCCTTTTGACATAGGCAAAGGCCGAAAAAAGCATGCCTTGGTTATAACGCGGTACCGCTTATAGCGCGGATTTTTACAACTCCCGTGACTTACGTTATAAGCGGTCTACACTGTAGAAGGACTTACGAAATCCCAAATTTATGAAATCCCTGGATAATTCAAAAACTTTGGATGCTATGTGGCAATTCGTGATCTCAATTTTGTCGCTATTCTGCAGTAAGAATGGCCCTTAGGAGCCCCACAAGGCAGTGCAGTGCAGCGATAATAATGAGTGACAGGTGCAGCATATCAGCCTTGCTTCTACCAGTGAGAAAGAAAAAAAAAACAGTCTTGTGGTAAGCTGGAATGTGCACCTGTGGAAAAGAAGGCTTGCTTGGGAGCATTACAGTGGTGACACGCGAGCAGCATGTCGCATACCTTTTGCAGCGTCGGCACATCATGATTTACCCACTATTTCTGGGAATAAAAAGAAAGAAATTAATTAAAGTCAGTCTGGCGGAACTCACTATGTAATGAACCTCCAATTGGTGGCTGCTTCAACATCTCGTTCACATGTGCTGTGCTGTTGGTACATTTGTTGCCTGCAACTTTTACTTTGAAAATTCAGTTCAAAAACCAGAACATGTCACGAATTCCATCACTTTGGTCATTATTCTTTATTTTACTGGAAAGAATGGGCAAAGGTTGCATTATGATGCACTGACGATACAAGGTGCAGGTGACATGCTGCTCGAATGTCACTACTGTGCTGCAGTGAAGCACGTTTCCACAAGCACACATCTTAATTGATTATGATACCTTTTTTTTTATTATTAAGAAGCTTGCTCATCAAGCTTCTTATACTCGTGCCTTGTCCATTGTTCGCTCTCGGTGCTCCCGCTAGAGGCGCCGCTGTGCTCCCTTGCAGCTGCACTCTCTACGGTGAGTGACTCAAACGGCACCCCGCTGCTCATTCTAAACTAGCTATCTCAAGGTGCTAAAAACTGCAAAGTGGTAGCTAGCCTGCCACTTTGGCCGTTTTTGTATACAGCTGTGAAGGTGGTGAAGGCTTCGTGGGTGGAGGTAGGGGCTTTATGCGTGCAAAGCTATTTTTGTGAGGCTAGTTTCGTTGATGTGAAACCTGATCCTGAGCCTGAAACTTCCGAAAAAGACCACCCCAGTGGCAATTTCTGGCAGTAAATAATGGGAAACTTGCAATAACAAAATCGGCGGGCAAAGCAAAAAAATTCGCTTATGCGGGAACTTAGTTAGCGCAAAAATTAGACATAAAACACAGGAAATTGACTAAAAACACGTTTTATTGCAAAATGTCAATACGCTTGCTTTGCCGAGCCTTTTTGCTTTTCACAGAACCATGCAAACAGCCATCATGGTTTTTTGTTTCTTTCTCTGCTGCTGTTTTCAAGCGCACCAAGAATGTAGGCCTTGCTTTTCATAATCGTGGACAACGCCAAATTCTTCGGTGTTCTACCTTGGATGCCCTTTTCAAAAAATGTACTTTGCGCCGCAGTCAAGTGTACCTAAGCAAACATCCCACTTGTTCCTTTCCTTCAGAGAGAAACACAAGAGCAAGAGTTCATAATTTAAAAAACGATAGTCTTTCTTGGGGTACTTCAACGCAAAAATTTTGGTCTGTCTGTTTGTCCTTTGTTTTGCTAGCTCAGATCAGCTATATTTTTTTCGATTTCACTACAACGAAATTCTCGCTTCAATGAAATATTTTCTGCACCCCGTGAGTTTCGTTGTTGCAGGATTCGACTGTATCGATATTGAAATTTAAACCAGATAATTGTATTTGTCATTCTGTGGAAGAAATTTATGCACAATTTTATGCAGATTCGAGCAACAGAAGTACCGTATTTACTCGCGTAATCCTCGCACTCGCATAATTCTCGCACCCCCCACATCGCCCAAGAAAAATACGATTTTTTTTCTCGTGTAATTATCGCACCCCCGAAAACTGCCGCAATAATGTCGTCTGCTCGTTCCAGCCACTGATGATGATATAACGCGCCATTTGGTGCCATCTCTTAAGCATCAGGCGTACTATTGCACGGAGATTTAATCCAATCCAAGCCAAGCCGAAGTGGCCAGTGCACGTTGCGGCGTGTTTTGTATGTTGTGTCGGTAATCTTGGCACGTTATGGGGCGATACTGTAGCCACACGGCTGCTTTCAAGTTGAAAGTGGTAGATGATGCACTAAACAACGGCAACAGGGCTGCCGGTAAGCCCTTTAGAGTCTACGAGTTTTGTGTTCGCTACTAGTGACGGCAGCTGAAAGCCACCAAGACGCGTTGGGTCTGCCGTGTGCCTAAAACTGGGATTGATGGTAAACTTTATTTCTTCATAAGGAAACTGCGGACGATTCTGTTAAATAGCCATCAGCCCAATACTGACGTCTTACGCTTACCTTTTGAGGGCTCCTGTTGAGCGCCGATCGCTATCGCTACGCCTGCAACGCCCACAAGCTTCGCGTATGGTATTCTAAATCTCGACTATTTGCTTCCACTTTTTGTGTCTCAAATAAATCTTGCCTTGTGTTGAACCTCTGCTTTTATTGTTAAGGCAAGTTCTAATTAGTACTGCTTTTAGCTTGCTATAAGTTGCTGTTGTGAGAATACCGATTTGCGGCCACTTCGTTTTCTTTTTCGCTCTCTGCGTTTTCATGGAAAGTTTTCTCCGCGTAATTCTCGCACCCCCCAACTTTGCATCGGTTTTCTGGCAAAAAAAAGTGCGAGGATTAGGCGAGTAAATACGGTACCTGAAAAAGGAGGAGCACATTGAAAAAAGAGCAAAATTTATGTTTTGAAAAAATTTAGTTTTAAAGGTAAAATTGTATTTTTATTTATAAAAGATATCATTAAGTGCTATGAAATTTGCACAGCAAAAAGAACAGTCCTTCTTGTGGTGGCCTCTGCCACTAAAATGCGCCAGCGCCATGAATTTGCCCCTTGTGGCTCTTTCGAGCTGACTTCTCACAGACATTTTGCTCACAGCCAGGGCTATGAAAGGCTTGCTAAACTTCTTCCGCTCCATCTGGCAGAGCCTTGGGCCAACTTCATGCTAGGAACAGGTTCGACAGGACTGCGAAATCTAAACTAAGTGCTGATGCCATTTTGCAGCCTCATTTTTGCCACATACCGTCGTACATAATGGCAATGTCGTCCCCGCTAATTTCCCTCACTGTGAGCTCCTTCGACCTCGCGAGATTGGCGCTGACATCGTCCATTGCCGCATTACCAACTTTCCCGCTGATGGCTGCGAATGACTTTTGGTGCATTGGCTTTTGCAAGCCAACAACTGTCACAAATCGGACTTGCTGCTCATAGCCTATTCCTTATAGAGCGCGTCGCCACAACGGCTTTCATGCTCAAGCAATGGCTTTTTCTATTCATAACGGAGATAAATGAATAAGAAAAGCATTTGCAGCTGCGCTGCTCGAAAAGATATGCATGGACCTCGCAAGTAGACCTCACAAGCAACATACAGGTGCGTAGCGGCCAATGGCGGTCCCCGATCCATACCACGTGATTTGCGGCTCTCGAAAAACGCGCAAAAGGGTGCTTCTTTTTATTATTTGTTGCGTTGCATAGTGCGGGAATTTGTCTTTATTTGAAGAGTGAGGCTCGACTTTCTGCCTCATGCGATCGACAATGGTGAACAGCAGCGCGTTACCAGAGGCAAGGCGCTCAAAGACTGCCCACTTTCGGCCTTTTAACAGCATCTTGTGCTCTTTAGACGCAATTTTAAAGCATTTTTAGTCAAGTCTCGGCATGTATTTTTTTTAAACAATAGTGGTATTAATCTTATCAAAACAGACGAAAATAAAAGATCAGTAATATTGAAAAAAAAACTCGTTTTTTGACCTGCATCGCGCCTTAATGAGAGATAGCGGTTGAAATATGTATTGTAGTCACAAGCTACGAAATGCATTGACTCCTATTTGTGTTCGCTGGTGCTTCAAAAATATTTCATTATGGTGAAAATTTTTTTACCAGGGGATTTCGGTATTGCAAGTTTCGGCTATACGTTGTAGATTCCGACATGACAGGGGGGGACATCTGCTGGGATGATCTCATTATGACCGTGGATGATGTCGACACTGTGAAACCATACATGAATGATGGCATTGTGAATTAGTGTGCGGCAAGGGTGATTTGGAGGAACTGGATGACAGCAACAAAACCTTGGAGTCAGCGCCCCCAAGCGTGCCAATAGCAATCGGCTGCATACGTACTTCGGGCAGCTTTTATGCCAAGTGCCTTGGCAAAGAGCAAGCTGCTGCTTTAAATACTGAAGATCACCCTTATCGCATCTGCAGTTTACAAATAAATACAATTTAGCTTGTACACTGGTTGTGAAAATCGTTAACAATTCATGAGAAAAAGAAAAACACTAAAGAACATATCTTTTTTTCCTTTGTTTATGTGTAGGTATTTTAATATGCCAATAATTGTGTTAAGTACTGTAAGATTTTGCTGTTGTTCAAGCTGTCGCACTTTTTTGGGTTGTTTTTTTTTATTTTTGCAGTCTTTATTAATGGGTATATGAGATTATATTGTAATACACTAAGCGTGCTTAAAATATATTGGCTGCGGCTGAATGGCTCTTTTTTCTACCTCTCATGTTTTATATGTACGTATTTGCAAATGGGCATTATCGTGAAAATATTTTTCTTTTTGTCTTTTTTATGTGACACTTTTAACAGGTGTTCCTTTTTCAATGATGCTGAATGAGAACGGCAGTGTTGTAGAAGAAATAATTAAGTAAAAAAAATTTAAAAAACTAGAACAGTATATGGGGTGGATATTTAGTTCGAAATGTCGCATAGAAGTTCCTCAAACAATGTGAAGTTGTCTTCAGTGCTAATATGGGATGCAACTATTGCTCAGGAAATGAAAGAATTAGCATAATGGCCTGAGCAATAAGTTATGCATATTATTTTGAAGAGAGGGTCTGTGCATGGGTGTTTCGAAGGTGTGGTGGAGGTATTGGTGATGACAAATTGGGGGTTGGTTCATTTGCAGGCTGCTAGTCCACATGAGGGCATTAGTGTTCCCTTCCAGCTGCCCAAGGGAACAGCCAATGAGTGCCAGTTTGCCTTCACAGTGGACAGCGTCTCAATGTCCCAGCGTTTGCGGGGCACCCTCACCTACATGGTCATGGTAAGCTTATGCTTAGGATATCACGAGACGGGGAGTGCTGAGACGGATGCAGAAGGGAACTCAAGGCACCAGATACCCCGACTAACAACTCTGAACATTGTATTGATACTGCTAAAGACAGCTGTGTTTACATTCTTGTGCACTGAACTCATAATTCTATTTATTCTTGAAACCATTGTAAATCACTTTGTACATTCCGTACTATAAATGCTTGTTGATGTGTTTTTTATTCCTTGCTGCTAGGGTGGCACGACCTAGTAAGGCGTTTACTCGGCCTTTGGTCGTATCGAAATAGGTAAATTATTACAATATTGTCTTGAAAAAAGTAAATTGAATCAAATCAATCGAGAAAAAAAAAAAAAGGCACACCGCAGCAAAAAAATAAAGGTTTAGAAAAACTTACCTACACATGCCTAGGCAAGAGGCAGACCTATCGTTCCAGCACAAAACAATCAATTAAGTTGCATAGAAAGGGGACAAGTTTACTCTGTACTTGTAAAGCTTAACAAACAGCAAAGTTGGTCGGTTTTAGTAGCTTAATCTGGCTTTCTTGGCTGATGCCAGTTCTTTCTCATGCCGCTGTAAATTGCATTGTGCTAAAGTGGCTTCACGGCAGTGCTTTAAAGCCATGCTACAAAGCTAGCTTTGCAACAGTGTGCAGGAATTGTTTTGTTTTTTAAAGAAAATTTTAGTATCATTTTAGAAAACATTTATGGTGAACATATTCTTGCAGCTTGCGCAAGCTGTGATTGTAGTGTGCTTTCTTTACTGTTTCGTGTACTACAGGCATTACTCTCTATGCCCGATTTTCCAGACCTGCCTGGGAATTCAGGTGCCTTCACAACACTACTGCATGCTCCAAGGAGCCAATGCAGAAGAATGCATGTGTTTTAGAGTGCTTAAACTCTTCAACAACTGATTTGTTGGACTTTCAGCCCTGATTGCTGGTTCAAAACGAAAGTTTCTTTTTGCTTTCTTAGACTATTGTTGGAATCTCTAAGAAGCAGAAAAACACTGATACCTAATAAATACAAAGTTAGAAACTGCCTTATTGGACGTTTTACAAATCAATATTCAACTTTCAAGCAGTTATTTTTTTTAATCAGCTTTGTTATTGTAAAGGGTAATTAATAACCAGTAGATGATTAAGCAATGAAGCAGGACTAAAAAATAGCATGATGTACTGAATTCAATTGTAAGCAACATGTCTAAAGTGGAAAAAACAGCATGAACACAAGATAAAGGAAGGAGACATGAGGACGTGTTTCTTGTCCTGTGTTTGAGCTGTCTTTCTTTTTTCTTTTTTAGTTCTGAGTCCTGTACAAACTAACACGCCCTTTGCAACTTATACAACATGTATTCAGTACGGGCCATCATAAAGTGCGTTCACATATACTTGAACTCTGGCTAGAGATAGTCAGTGCGACCTGAATATATCCTTCACAGTAGCGGTGGGTATGTTTGGGTACGCAACTTGTTTATGCCAGTTGTGTCAATCTATGCCGAAAAGTGAGCTAGATACATATCTCATTCAATGAACAGAACTTTCTTTATAGTCGATATGTCTTGACTTGATCTCAGTGTGGTGCGTAGCCCATCTCTTTAATGAAGGCACTAATACGTTCAGCAGGTCATTCGACGGGCTGCGTTCAAGCGATGTCAAGAGTATTACTTTTCTTTTAAAGACAATAGTTTTTCTTGGCGACCTTCGATGGAAACATTTTGATCTGTCTGTCTGTACATTTGTTTGTTTGTCCGCTCTTAACTATATCTAAAATGGCCAACCCTCTCCGCAGAGCCCACCAATAATGCTCAAGGTATAGCGTTCATACTCGTGTGATTGTCAAATAAAAAAACAATCGTTGCGCATATCTGAGGTACCATAACAACACAACGATGTTTTGTATGTGTGCCTTTAATCTAGAGAAGGCACACAGAAGTGATTTTCAAGGAACGTAGCGCTAAACACGCTGCGTTGGCAGTGCAGCGCAATGCTCAAAAAGGCAAGTGTTACCAACGCTTTGCTAAAACGAGATGGTGGTGGCACCTGTCCGTCGCCTTGCGTTTTACACCTCATCGCATCCGAGACTGGCACGCTTCTTTCTCCTCAGGCGCCTATGCCTGTCCACACCAGTGACCTCTACAAGCTCTGGCAGCAGCCAGGGCAATCACGAGGCCAAGGGGGCTTCATCGACCCCCAGCTCGATGGGGACAAAGACTTCGTCGATCGAGGCAAAGTCTAAGCGACGCGCAGATCGCTCTGTAGAGCGGGCGTCCAGTGCCTCGCAAGAGGCTATGGACACCAGTTTAAGCCAAACGGCGCAGGAAGCGCCGAAGGAGCGGCGAGCTTCTCTCGACCGCCCCAAAAAGGACAAAAGGCCGATTACAGGGCCTGACAAAGGCCCTGTAAAATGAGCTAATCTCCGTCTTCTCTGCACACAGCACTTTTTACTTTTTTTTTCCACTATGGACAAAATCATACAGTGGAACGTAAGGGGATTACTTAAAAAAGAAATTTAGATGACGTCCAAGAACTTCTGAGTAAGTTTAATGCGAAAGTGCTATGTGTGCAAGAAATGCACTTAACTTCTAAGCACAAGGACTTCCTACGGCAATATATTATTTTCCGAAAAGACCAGGAGGATGCTGTCGTACCATCTGGTGGTGTGGCCATTATAGCTGATCGTAGTATAGCATGCCAGCACTTGGAGCTCCAAACGGCCCTTGAGGCAGTGGGCATTCGAGCTGTACTTTTTAATAAACTCATTACCATATGTTCTGTGTACACACCACCGCATCAACAGCGACACATACGTGATCTAGAATCATTAATAAATGAACTCCCAGAGCCGTTTCTGGTTCTAGGTGATTTTAATGCACACAATGTCATGTGGGGCGATGCTCACTGTGATGCATGAGAACGTCTCATTGAGCAGCTCCTTTTCTCTTCTAGTTTGTCTTTTAAATATGAAGGAGCCTACGTATTTTAGCCTTGCAAACAACACGTACTCCTCCATAGATCTTAGCATTTCATCACCGTCCTTTTTACCTGTTTTTAAGTGGAGCGTTCTTAAAAACCCTTATGGGAGTGACCACTTCCCAATCATCCTGAGTGCGCCAAACAAAGATCAACTACCCCCGCAAGTTCCTTGATAAAAGATTGACTCAGCTGATTGGGAAGGGTATAGAACTCTTACACACATGACATGGACTGAGCTGTCTGCCCTGACCATAGATGACGCTGTCACGTATTTTACAGCTTTTATACTTGATGCCGCATCTAAATGTACTGCCAAAACGAGCGGCATGTCTTCAAAACGGTGAGTCTCATGGTGTAACGACGCATGCAGGAAAGCACGGACCACTCAGAACAAAGCATGGGCGTTGCTTCGCGATTCCCCTACAGCAGAAAACCTGGAAAATTTCAAGCGGGTCGAATCGCAGGCAAGGAGAATGCATCGACAAGCTAGACGAGAGAGCTGGACAAAGTTTATATCGAGTCTCAACTCATACACAGATGAGGGAAAAGTGTGGAATAAGGTAAAGAAAATTAAGGGCCAACAAACGTATTCCCTTCCACTAGTAAATAGCCTCGAGGAAAGCTTGGAGGATCAAGCCAACTTTCTTGGCACACATTTCGAACACATATCGAGCTCCTCACACTACTCCGAATCCTTCCAGTATTACAAGGCACGAATAGAAAAACAAAAGTTAGAAAAAAAAATCCGCAAGAAATGAGGAATATAATGCTCCATTCTGCTTAGCAGAACTGCGAACAGCACTCGGCTGCTGTAATACATCTGCTGTAATACAGCGACAGCTGCTGTAATACAGCGACAGAAAGTGCCTCATGAATCTGTATAGAAGCCTCATACGCTCACGCCTTGAGTATGGGGCAATAGTATATCACTCTGCCACGCCAAGCGCTGTGAAAATGTTGGACCCTGTTCATCATCAAGGCATCCGCCTGTCCACAGGCGCCTTTAGAACAAGCCCAGTTGAAAGCCTTTATGTAGAATCGGACAAGTGGTCACTCCATCTGCAGAGAACATATTCTTCCTTCATATATTTCCTTAAAGTAAATGCGAACAGTGAGCAACCCGCATATTCCACCATCAACGACCTGTCCAGCTCTCAACTTTTTTGCAATCGGCCCACAATGGCACGCCCTTTCTCGCGGCGTGTTAGAGACCTAGCTGAAGAAACAGATGTCCGCTGCTTGAATACCACCTCAGCCCCCCCCCCCCCCCCCCGCTCTGCGGCTCCCGCCATAGCAGTGGCAGGTTATAGACTGTGACACATCTTTCGTAGCTGTCGCAAAGCATGCCTCCCCCATACACATTCGGATGTATTTCTTAGAGCTGCAACATAAATATGACTGTCCAGAATATTATACTGATGCATCCAAGTCCCATACTGGCGTGTCCTATGCGGCGGTCGGCCCATCCTTCTCTGATGCTGGCGTTCTGTCCACCAGCACAAGCATTTTTACAGCCGAGGCTTACGTGTTATTCGTAGCCGTTAAACACATGAAAGAATTGAATACGCTAAGAGTAGTTATATACACAGACTCCCTGAGTGTCGTAAAAGCGTTGAAAAATCTAAAAAAAACACGGAAACCCTATAATTATATCCCTCTATTCAATACTCTGCGCGGCCTATGCTTCCAAGCAACATATCGTCGTGTGCTGAGTGCCAGGACACCGCGAGATCGAAGGAAATGTGTTGGCCGACCAGCTCGCCACGTCAATTACCGGAAGCACTGCCAACTCTTCAGTTGCTGTCCCTATAATGGACCTAAAACCAAACATACGGAAAAAGCTCAGGGCTTACTGGCAGAAGTTATGGGATCTACAAACTCGTAACAAGTTACACTTGATTAAACCATACCTTGGTAACTGGCCACCCATGTCGAAAACGTGCCGTACAGAGGTCAGTCTCTGTCGGCTTAGAATAGGACACACACACAGCACGCACACACACCTTTTGTCCGGTGGTGACCCACCCAGCTGTCACAGATGTGGCCTTCCACTTACCGTACTCCACATACTCCTTGAATGCTCTGAGCTAGAGGCTTACAGGAAAAAACATTTTCCACTAGCGTACAAGGAACCGATACCCCTTCACCCAGCTATGTTTATTGGTTGCGAACCTCTTTTTAAATATAATGCATTGAATGCAGTCTTAAAGGAAGTAAATACTTTCCATGTTATCTACTCAAGTGATCGGTAGCACAGCCTCTGAAAGGAGGCTGCTGCTGCGGATGCTACATCCAAAAAGAGCACCTGTCTCCCGGCCCTTGGGACCAAGGGCACTGGCGAGAAATTGGTGCTAATATAATGCTCCTATTTCATGATGTCATGATAACTAAAGACTCATTCTCACCAGGCATGCCTCACTTCACTTTCATGATTTTAATAAATATATGTCTTACGCACCTTTAGAGCACAGAATTTTAGGCCCTTTTACAGCCATTTACCATAACCATTGCTCTCATCCGATATCATTTCCTGGCGCTCTTTGGCCATCAATGGCCCTTGCGCCATTAAACAACATATATCATCAATGTTTAGCCCATTTTATGGGGGCAAAACTGTGGGCCACTCGCACGTTGCGACAGGGAGGCCAAGCCTCACCGACGCATCATGGGAATAGAATGTTTTATTATGTGCCAATTATAAATAACTAGTCAAACTCACACAAAACCACATGACTTGATCTGACACATTTAATGGCCGAATGGGCAAGTTGACAGCTTGTTTGTTCCTTTAGACTGCTCTTGGCTGATCTCTATATACTCTCCTTGTATAAGCGCTGGTTTGTGGCTTTGCTTTTCAGACAGAAACTGGTTCCACGCACGAGAAGCTGGACTTAAAACTGCACCTGCCAGTTTCTTCTTACCTGATAGGAACAATGTCTAAAAGGCAAGTACTCTCTGCTACTCTGAGAGCCTTCAAGGTTGCTATTGTTGGGCTTTTGTCTGATGCCCACTGTATCATATGTGATAGCACCATGAAATACAATGGAATCCCTCTGCATTTCTTAGTGATTTTGCTGTATTTCATGGCACCGTTTTAAAATTTATTAACTCTTGCGGTTGTGTTTCTTTGTTGAAGGGATGGAACAAGCGGGATGTTTGCTTAGGTACACTCAACTGTGGCGCGAAATACCTTCCATAAAAAAGGAAGAGCTAGAAAAGAAAATATATGTTTGGCGCATTTGCGATGCATGGTATCGGTGATACATTCAGTTTAAATTTGTTTTGTGTTATTAAACTTCTTTAAAAGGGCTTTCTAGTTCTGTGCAAGATAGCTAAAGTTCTAGATTTATGGCATTTGTCTCCTTTTCTGTATCTTGAGAGACGTAATTTTAGCATGCAAGTATGAAATCCTTTCGATATTGGAGCATTATATCGGCGAAAAATCATGTTGGGAGTGCACTTCACAAACGACGAAGCAAGTTCTTACTCAGCCTAACTGCATAACATGCGGGCACAGCTGTTTTCTTCAAGTCATAAAAGCATTATTGTGTTACAAAACAGCAACTTGTTACAGAGAAGGCCGTCAAGTTCTTTTTATTCTTTTTACCACTATGAGAGCAGTGGCAGTTTGACCACAAGCTGCAGCTTAAATGCTGTTTCTGAAATCAAAAACCAATGAAAAGAATGACAACATTGATGCTTTAAACAGCCAGGAAGCAAAAGAGAAAACAAATGCACAAGATCTATGAGAAAAGCTAATATCTCGGGCCTGAATAGAGTTTACGAATCTGATGCGACAGTTGTAAATGCACTTGCAGAATTCAATGCATTCAGTGACATCACGTCAATATGTGTGGCTTTCTGTCATTTATGGCCACAGTTTTATATATATATGGGCAGAAATTCAAGCATAACTGAAGTGTTCATCCTTATCTACATCAACCAAAGAAGCTAAAGCGGTTGATGTATGTGAAGACCTCAGGCAGAGCCACTGGGCTGAACGCAACAGGAAGAGGTGCAGATTGTGTACCAAATCTGGAAATAAGGTACCTTCAAAATTTTTCTTTTCCCAGTTTTTAAAGTGTCTCTGTACTGCTTGGATCGGAGTTTTTCGTGCTAGACATTTGGCAAAGGGATTACAGCTTGATTCCTTCATGAGACAATGGGACAGGTGTTGTCCTACTTTTTCAGACACTCCATGGGTCAATGGGACACATAACGTCGTAACTTTTTTTTCGTAAACTAATGGTCATATTTTGGTGGAGTGTTTTTCATACCGTTTCTAAGCACGCTATTTATGTATTCAACAGGCATAATTTGTCATGTGAAAAATATTAGTGAACCTACAAAGGGTTAAGAAAGCTACTCACTTGTAATTACATTGCTGCTACAAATTTGCACCAGAAATAGAATGCATAATATTTCTGCAATAAAAATTGTGTGCTTGCCTGGTTCTGTTTAAGCAAACAAGAACAGAACTTTTTAACTACTACCGAGCGGGGTTTTTTTTTTTTTTCCACAAAATAAACGGAAATGGACAAGGAGCATTTTATTACGTATTCTATGCCAGGATATTTTTTTGTGATTGGTTTGATTACTTGCAGTTGTTTGTGCTTGGGCCTCTTGAAGCCATTGGGATCATTTCACTCATGTGCAGCTTGTGCTGTACATTAACCTCAAAGTGGCCATGAAACAATTTTTTCAAGTAATCATGGAACGGATTTACTAAAAGAGCTTATTGCCTCACAAACTCTATTCCATGAAAATTTTAAGAATCCATTCATTGCGAGCGAAGTTACAATTATTTGTCACACGCTGCAATTGCATTTTCTCTTCTTTCGTACCGACGAAAGCACTGGAAGCTAAGTAGGGAGGGATGGCATGGGCAAAAAAAAAAAAAAAAAATACGTCATGCACGCCTTGTGATCTTGAGCACTTGTATATTTCTTTTTTCTTGGAATACGTGGCCTTTTCAGGGTGATCACTTGCGCACACGTGGGCAATTCACAACCTTCCCCTGCATTCCCTGTAACGACCAAGTGTACTATGTTAAAATAAGCCAAGGGCTGATAGATGGCCTTCTACGAGTGATTTTTCACTTTCTTCCATCACTTTTTGGGAGAAGAGAAAACAATTTTCAGCTCATTTTGACAATTTATTGCAGATTCCACACTACGTGCTGTGCTATAATATTTGGCTCGCGTGTTCTCGGGAGCCTCTACTATTGATCAGCAGAGTTTTCTGACCATGCTCAAAAAGTGTTGCAGGGCCCCTTTAATATTTCGATTAGTAGAGCACTGCTGTTAATTTAATAATATTCTTATGCCGTTTGTTGCGGTTTACCGCCCACAAACTGGCAGTCTCACTGAGCGTCTTGACCACACATTCCCAGAGATTGCTTTCGATGTACGTCTCTCTACATCCTCGCGACTGGGAAGCCACGTTCTCGTAAGTGACTCACTTGCACAATTCCTCTTAGCATGACGCCGCTGGATTCTCGCCTTTTTATCTTTTGTATGGTCGTGAGGCCACATTGCTGTTATAAATCATCTTGCCTTCCGTACCACCTGCTACCATATTGGGCGCGAGGACATATAGGGGTGCCATCATGCGGATGCATCCCTGTGACGTGCATAGTTGGATTGCTTCGCTAGCCCTCTCGCGTGAAGCCCGCAGCTGCTTTCATGTCTCCTTTTTTTAATTATTATTCTTGTACTTCATGCAATCAGATCATAAAAGTACTACTGCAGCTTTTTCACTGACTGTATGAAGTTAAATAACTGCTCTAGAAAAGTTGTAAGATTCTCATAATGCCCGACTTCCAGCATCATCTGCTATGGCCACGTATAAGAAAACCACAGGGGCCGAGTGCGATGCTTTTGTGAAAGGCGACGACTCATTCCGTGTCAAATTGAAGCACCAAATGGGTATTCATATGTGCTTGCGGCTAATAGACTTTATTTTTCTGAAAGAAATGCGTGCAATTACGATACTTCATTCATTGCATGTTTTCATCTAAAGACTGGCCGCGGTTGACATGACAAATATGCGCAAATTAGCATTTTTGCTTAGCACACATAGCCTTATAAAGCACAGCGCGAGCGGATTCCCCGTTTTGTGGGAAGCGACACGGCATTCTTACAGTTGCATGCAGCCGCAATCTCTCTGTTAAGATTGTGGGCAAGCGCGAGTCATATGCATCAGCATGCCTCATTTAGAGCTGTAACTATAGGTAGAATTTCACCCGAGAAAAGGTTTCTCTGTGGCACGATCCTAATAGTTATTGCGAAAATTTTGTATAGTTGTCACACGGTGCACATTCGATCGCCATCGAGCTTTGCATGGGTTCAAGTTATGAATGATTGGCTCAATTCGACAGCTTCTACAAACAGGTAAATTGAAATTAAAAAGTGTGATACCAACCGGGATCAATTACCATAGCAAATGCAGTGCGCGCCAGGTGTATTATTTTTCACCCTTGAATGATCATGCTGCGAGGCACGTCTTGCGTCTCATGATCTAGACGGCAACTTCATGTTTCAGTAAAAATGCCACTGTCTAGTTTTTTTACTGTTTCATTCATAGGCCGTGTGAAATTTCACGGCAGCTATTTGAAGACCAATTTGCCTTTAGATCAAAACAATATTGAGAAGAAGTGACAGTAGCTGTGGGCCCATTTTGCAGACGTATAAGCAAGGAACCATGCGAGCTAAAGTCTGCGAACGGCAGGGGCGTAGACAGTAACCTCTTCCAGAGGGGGCACCACCTTGTTTAGAATTAGGGGGCCAGGCAGAGAGATGTGGTCGGCTGTATTTTGCGCTCTATATGCCATGGGAAAAAATGGGGGGGGGGGGGGGGGGGGGCATGGGCTTTATGTGCCACTTTTTGGCCACGCCACTGGCGGATGGAAAGCCATGTAATTGGGCACACACATGGGGACAGACGCCTGGGTAGGAGAGTGGGTGGTGGTGCAGACTGCGGTAAAGGTTCTCTTGGCGGGAGAAGTAGCTTTAGCAGACTGGAGCATGCATAATGTAAGAAAAATGGTTTTATCGAACAGGCTGGCTGAACACGCAGGAGCAACTGGCCACGAAATAGACCGGAATAGGGTTAAATAATGAAAATGAAAGGAAAGAACCAAACTTCAGTGCTTTATCTTGACTCTCTGACAATTCAGACGGCGCACACTCTTAAATGTAATGACCGTAACTTCCCGCACATGTATGCATGTATGTCATATTTAAAAATATACTTAATCGGACTTTTTGCACATTCATTTTTTTTTATGAACGATGCTCCTCTGCCATAACTGAATCCTTCTGCTTTTATGTGAATAATCGTGGTCGGTGCTTATTTTAACCCCATGGGCTTGAGTTAACAATCACAACAACATAGAAAGAGGTGACATTGGCACTGCAGCAGCCGTGAGAGTGGCATCGCGTATGTACCCTGTGGCGTGCCACTGATATCATTTACTGTAGATTTCTGGATTGTGTGGTCTGTATAAGTCTGCACACATGAAGTAAGAGCAAAATGATGCTGTTCAAAAGTGAGGAAACCATAAAGTTGCAGTTAAAAACAATGCATGCAACCGCTAGCTTTCCTTCACCAGAGCGAGGCGAGATCATGTGACCCAACCCTGCACATCGCTGGCATCGCAGCGCCTGCTCCTCCACTTGTGGGCCTCGCGCCTAATATGCCCGTGATGTTATTGACCGGGTTATCTGGCTCATCTTTCCACGTCAAAATATAAAGAGACACTGCTCTGACCAGCATGATATTGTTATGTGGAAGATTTATTTGCTGATAGCGAATCTAGCTAACGCCGTGCTGAGCGCACAGTATTGCAGGTTAACAGGGCAGCCGAGAGTCCAACCCACAGCAACCACGTTGTCGTCTTTATCCTTTTGAGTGTCATTTCTATGCTTGTGTCATAGCGACAGT